GCAGATATCTCTCTCCCACCGTGAGCTGTCTCTCTCGCACTTACAGATATCCCGTAAGAGAAACTGGGATCAATTTACAGCTTTTATTATTAGACTTTCAAAGCTCGCGTTTGTTTCTAAGGATTCCAGACGTATGCTGCTAGAACTTATGAGTCTTAGAATTTAAGATACCTATTGTGATATTTAAATAATCACTGATTTCGGAGTCGGATTTTAGCAGCGCGACGTGGTGGATTTTTTCGGAACTACAGCTGAAGATTAACCTTAATCTAGATACCGTTTTATTATTCTATGATACCGTCAGTGAAGTGTCTTCATTTCCAATGTGTTTACAATGGGTAAGAACAAGAAAGGGTACAACTGGAGAGCAAGACAATTAATTGACACGAAAATTGTCAGTCGTTCAAAAGATGAGGTAAGGATCTAAGTCTTGTTGTTTTTCAAGGTAAGCCCTAGTGTATGAAAATCTTCAATACCAGTCGAGGATGCAACTACTGTCAGACGAGCTGCATTTATGATTGTCTGATTTCTCCCCGTGTTCTAATTTATTGATTATTATAAGTAGTGTAAAGGTGATTCATCCTAAGTTTTTGGCGTGCTCGAATATGGTGCAACATATCACTCTGACGAAAGGACGAAAACTCCGGCGCATGAACTTTTTTCTCTTCCTCTTTCTTTCACTTTGAATAACCATGAGAGGATAATCTCTTGCTTATAGTCCTATCCCCCTCAGTCCCTAATTAAGCCTGCTCCAGCGGGGAGTTTATTGAAATGACATTGACTCTATGTTGGCGCCTTGTCGTGTTGCCCCATCGACTGAGAGGTACTCACAAGGGGAACTTCCCAAACTGCCGCCTCCGATCGGGCTGAACAAATTCGTACGAACTCTTTGGATGAATTTATTTGACCCGTATTTTTTTGTTTTTTCCAATGCCCCCCAGAAACACCCCAAAAAAATCCCGGAAAGTTTTGCTTTGAGCGCTTGAGTGTATATACGCAGTATAGCAGCACTCCTTTACCGTCAAGTGGTGGCTCTGCGGTAGCGCGCTCACTCAGTGATCCGGCGGGCCCGGGTTCGATTCCCGGGCGCCGCGCTAAATTTTTACAACCGAATTTTATATTCTCACACATTTTGACATCGATTCCCATTTGATACATTAGATTTTAAAACATCAATTAATTTACAACCATCAACGATCAATAACTTCTTCAATTTGAAGTATAGATTTTTTTTGGGAGGGGGGAGGGGTCACGCGCGCGATATTCTCGCCAATCACTGTACTTTCACATTAGCAGACGACCCGCTCCGCCCCCTCACATCGACATATTTCTCCCGATCACCCGTATGAGTCATGATTTTTCCCATCATTATCCAGAAAATGATAATGAAAAATTGTAGCATTTTTAATTTGAATGTTCGAAGTAAAAAATGAGAGCTATCAGAATATATGTATGAAATTAATACGATTTCAAAATTTGACCCACTCTTGGGGAAATTTTACAAAGTTCTCCTTTCGTAAATTTCCGTTTTTCGAGATTTTTGGTCAATCGGTTTGCTCGGAGCAAAATAACAACAATCATAAATGAAAGTATAGCGGTTAAGGTTTAAAACAAGCCCAAGTTATCTTGGGGAAACGAATAGAAGCGGAGCTATGAGTCTTCAAAGTTGACCCGGCGGGCAAGTGGCGAGTTTTTGTATTTTTATGCTTCTGTAGGTCATTTTCCAAGTGAATCATTCAATAAAGACGGAATATTCGGAATTTGTGAATTTTACAGAAGGAGCAAGAGGGGGCTAAAGGTATCGACCATTATGTCCATCATATCTCATTAAAAATATGCTGCGATGAGATTCTGCTCTTAAAATTTAGAAAAAAGCATGGATCCTCAGTTCAAATATACATAAGATCATAAGATCTGTACAGAACTGAACCATTTTGAAATTATAACTCATAGATGCCAAATTTTGGAGTACCCTTGATTTGACAGTTCTATAGTTGAGCTAAGCTACAGCGCTTTGCGGATCTTACTTTTTAAAGCCAAATAGTTTCTCGTAGAAGCAGACGGTATGTGCTTCAAAACAAGCCCCAGTTATTGTTGAGGGAGCAATTTGGAACGCAGCTCAAATTTTTTAACGTTAGTGTGGCAAGCGTCACCAGAGGCCCATCAAGTAAAATTCACAAATTCCGAATATTCCGTCTTTATTGAATGATTCACTTGAAAAACGACCTGCAAAAGCATAAGAATACAAAAACTCGCTACTTGCGAGCATTCCGAGGGGGGGGGGAGGCGCAGGTGACCTTGAGACTCAGAGCATACAAGGAACCGATTGACGGAAAATCTCGAAAAACGAAAATTTACGAAAGGGGTACCTTGTAAAATTTCTCCAAGAGTGGGTCAAATTTTGAAATCGTATTAATTTCATACATATACGAGGGGTATTCGTAAAGTAAGTTAATATTTGTCATATCTTCTAAACTAATAAAGATAATTCAAATCTGTAAAAAGTTTGTGAATTGTCATACTTTCAGCTTTCTTGAAAGCTTCAGTTTTTTTAAATTTGGTCTTTTGAGTGCCGAGTGACATCAGTTTTCCCACACCCGTCTCTCACCACCGCGTGTCCAAAATTGACGCGCGTCTTTAGGGGTTCTCGATGAGTGTTACTCATTTATTTCTTAGAAAGAAGCACAAATATTGATGCAAACAGAAAATGTGATTCATTAAAGGCTCACAAATCAGCATTCAAAAGAAAATACCTTGGCCTTTTCTCTCATCAAGTGATGCTGCTTCATGGCAATGCTAGGCTCCATACAGCTCATGTGGCCAATCAGTTGTTGACCTCCTTAAAATGAGACCTTCCCCACGTCCTCCCTATTCTCAGGATCTCACCCCACGTGATTTATCACTTATTACCTGAACTAGAGAAGAGTTTTGGCGAAAAAAGTTCCGTGGACGACGATGAGGTGAAAGAAGCTGTACAAAAGTGGTTGCAAAAACGAAATCGACAGTTTTACGCTGATGGAATAAAAAAGCTCTTGTCATGGTATGTAAAATGTGTCCAACGAGATGGGGATTACGTGGAAAAGTAAAGCCAGATCTTCACAAACATGGAAATTTTAAATTTTAAACAAAAAATTCCATTTTGACAATTTGCAGGATGAAGCCGCAAGCTACCGTCCTGTGACCTCCCCAGCGCGCTTCAATTTTGGACACGCGGTGGTGAGAGACGGCAGTGAGAAAACTGATGTCACTCGGCACTCAAAGGACCAAATTTAAAAAACTGAAGCTTTTTAGAAAGCTGAGAGTATGAAAATTCACAAACTCTTTACAGATTTAAATTATCTTTATTAGTTTAGAAAATATGACAAATATTAACTTACTTTACGAATACCCCTCGTATTCTGATAGCTCTCATTTTTCTGGAAATTTTGAAATCAAGATCATCTTTCTACGACGTACCATTGAGAAGTTATGCTACTTTTAAGGTTTTGGCTTAGACCCCCTCCCCCTCTCCTCCCTTTTCCCCGGGGGCCAGGCAAAAAATAAGACCAGTTTTGAGTGACTGGGAAGACCCTCTTTTATGCCTGAGAAAATTGTAGGATTCCGAGTTTAGGCCGATTTGGCCGTTTTGTTGTAGGGCCCTTTCGTACATTTCAGTGCAACACAGCCGCGAAAATCTGATGTACTGCGGAGAAACGGCGCTAAACCGCTAATTTTTGAATTGGCGGCCAATAGCAAGGGTAAAATGACCGACTGGACTTGAGTGTCAATTTTTTCTCATTCCAAACACGCTCAAGTATATCACTGCCAAATTACATGTTAACAGGAAGGTTAGAACGCCTGAAAAATGAGATAGTAACGGTAATCAACTTATGGCGGTCATCTTGGAAAATGGCGGCCAAAATACGGGAAAACATGGGAAAACTCCAGTTTTTTTGTTTTTTTTTTGGAAGGAATTTTATCTAAATATAACGTAACTACTACAAGTATTTCCTTGTATCTATCTACATGGTTTGAAACTAAAACCAAACGAATTGCATTTAATTTACAGGGTAACGTTAGATAATACAATGATTATCTTAAAAAACAGGAATTGTGAAATTCTCTGCCTCCTTGGAAAAAGTTGTTTACATTTTTTTAACGATAAAGTGCGAATGTTATGTCTATAATTTTCTGTTTTTTTCTTTAGTTAGTAGAAATATTTTTGAATAAGTAAAATACGTGCTCAATTCCAATAAAAGAGGTATAAAATTTCAATTTTATCGCTATAAAAAAAAAAAATAGAATAAATTGGAATAAAAATTCAAGATTGATTGTATAAAATTGCTAAAAAATCGCTACGAAATTGAAATTTTCCTCCAATTTTTGGTGCATCTATAAAATTTCAATTTCATCGAAACAAAGTTTCAACAAAATTGGAATGTCTGCTACTAGAGAATGCAACTGCTAAAATTTATTGCCAAATGTGGCAACACTTCTTTTAAATGACTTTTATCTCTTAATAACGAACATTTCGGTTCCAAATGGCAATTTTCAAATTGAACATTAGAGTCTCTCTTCAGCAAATATTGCCAAAAAACCCATCATCAGCACTGATTTCTTACCGCCAATTGGACGGAGTTAAACAGAAAGGAACCAAGCCACATCGGGATCGAACCGAGAAAAAGAGGTTTAAAGTTTAGCTCCTGCATAAGACTCAATGTAAAAGTTAAACTTCAAGTTCAATTTCTGCAAAATTTACTCCAACAAAAACTTAAAATTTTTGGCGATAGATAGTAGAGCAGTGGATGAGTTCAAAACCACTCATAACTCAATTTTTTCCTAAATGTGGGTTGGTTCCTTTCTGCTTAACTCCATCCAATTGCTCTCTTGCTTCAGAATTGGGGTTGTCGACGCGTAACCGACCGGCCATTTTCGGCCTTTAAAGTCTCATATTATTAAGTATAATGATAATTTATCATATTTTTTAGCATGGATAAGTTCAGGGGCATCATTCCTATTGATTTATCAATTTGGTTTCCAATCGTTTTGCCCTAAGTCGTTTATAACCCATGGCGACACGACTATTCCTCTCATCATGAAATTATCCAGGTGGCAAAATTGTTGTGTGAATTTAGTTCTAACAGATATTTTTTTATTCAAATGCAAGTTTTTCTCAGCTTATGAAATGTTTTATCATTGATACTTAATAAACCTGATTATTCATTTCTCTAACTAATCTGTGAGGCGGCATTCTAAGAAGCCTTGCGCTTGTCCGGGTCTTTTCTAGAAGGCACATTGTCAAAGCATGCACACCTCCTTAACCATTTCCCTCGTCTTTTCTAATTTCAGGTACAAGTGAGTTTAAACACCGAAAAGGAGAAGTTTGATTCCTGCAATGCATTTGTTTTACCATCCAAAAAACGAAACACCATTAAAAAAAAAGAACCTCAAAGAACAACTTCTATTTTATCTAAAGCTGAAAGAAAGAGACTGGAAAAAATAGTTGACAAGAAGAAAAAGAAAGAATATGTGAGTATATTTAAACATCACTCTTGTGAGAGGCTTATACAAAAATAGACAAATCCTGTGTTGTTCAGATGTCCTCAAATTTTTAGCAAATTATTATACTGCACAAGTGACTCTTTCATTTTATATTTGATGCATTTTACGAAATGCGTCGCCATTTGGTGACGTTGCCATGTCGCCAGAGGTGCGTTGCTAAAGTCTCCTTCTTTCTCCGGATAGTTCCAGAAGATCGTTGAGCAGAGAGCTCGGAGGATTACCCGATGACTCGCAGCGGGGTCATTGCAGGAGAAATCATCCAGAAGTGGTTGCTCGACCAACTCAAAAACCTTTCATATTTTTTCCTCACATTCTTGCATACTAACAAAGCACTAAAATGGCTGTTTAAGATTTTTTAAAACTTTTCCACCCTGGTACGGGCCATCTAAAGTGGCTATTTTCAGTAAAAACAGCGTTTTCGGTACTTTGAATTATTTAATGTTATGTCGGATTTAGGGCCGGTTTAAACAGAATTAAAGGTATTGATACAAGCTATTCATATTGTGAAACACGAATATTCTATAAGTTATTCGATATCAGATTATCAGGTCTTGAAATCGCTGCCGTTACAGGTGAAAATCACTGACTTCAAGCTCTCATATTTCATGATTGAAACATGCTGAGGATCTGAAATTTTGTGTGAGAGTAGTCTCATAATAGACAAGTCATCAGCCAGAAAAATTGATCACTCCCCGTGAATTTCTCTGCCCACGACAGACTGACAAAGTTAATGAAACCTTCAGCTGGGGCGACATTCAAAGCGTAATATCTCAAGTGGCAGTGCACGAAAATTCCTGAAAAAAGCACCAAAGCTAGTCCTACTAGTAAGTATAATGCAGTGTAAAATTCATAAATTATATTGCATTCCTCTGCTTGTAGTGAATTTTTGAATTTCGGCTTTTCAATGGTATCTATACTATAAACTTTAGATATATACATAAACGTACCCATTAGGGTGCGGCTTATTTGTATGCGAAAAAAAAGTTGAACTCTCCGGTTTCCAATAGGTGTCAATACATTATAAACTAATTCTTTGAAAGTTTCAAACCAATCAGACCACCTTTAGAACTTGCACCGACGACTTTTTTACAAATACATATCTCGAGTTGCCAATTTTTACCACTTTACGGCCGTCCCCATGATAAAACATTGTGTTTTTCTGCAAGGAAAACGCACCGTAGTGAAAAAATGCATTAGTAGTACAGTGTAGAACATTAATTTTATGTAAGATATATCATTGAAACGATTCTTTCTTTTCCCCAAAAATATCACCAGTTAAGTGCATTCACCTGCATGGATTTCTAAAAGGTCCAAATATTATTGTGCTGTATCAAATATTCCTATTTGCTAGCTTTGATTATCATTTCTACAGTGTAAAAGAAACCTTAAAGTCGGCAGTTGTCTGAATGTATCAATCATAAACTAAGTTTTCTTCCACTGACGATTTTGGGCTGCACCCTAGTGGGTACATTTATACATATATCTAATACCATTGAAAAGCCAAAAGTATAAAATTCACCACAAGCAGAGGAATGCAATATAATTGATGAAACTTATACCACATTATACTTACTACTAGGGGGCTACGCCCCCTAGCCGCTCCGCGACCCAACCCCCAGGTTGTAAATTTGTTTCAAGAACTGAGAGGATAGGACCGAAGGCATGAACCATCCGGGCTCCCGAGTGTTTTTATATTTTGGTGAAATGAGTTCTCAGCTGACTCTGGATGGTTGACTTTTGATCAGTCGTGATCGACGTAGTTAAAATTGACTGCCGTAGACTTGGACGTATTTCTGCCAAACGGAACTATGTGCATTAAGATTTGAGCCCCGAGACCCATAAGAATATAGCATAGCAGGGCTCACTTCCGGGCGAGGGCGACTGCGACTCTTATTCGGTCTCACCTACAAAATAATAATCATTAGAAATCCAATCACAGTGATGAGCCCGGGAGTAACAAGCTCCGCTGAATTCCATTGGTCCCAGCCTCAGAATGAACACGGGACAGCGCACCAATCACGAGCCGCGCGCGGGCGCGCAATTCAAAACGTTCAAAACTTGATCTCCACGGCGCGGCGCCCGCCAAGGTCAAACTCGCATAGCCGTGCTCCCGCCAAGTTCAAACTCGCATAGCCGTGTTCCCGCCAAGTTCAAACTCGCATAGCGGTGCTCCCGCCAATTTCTCACACAGCGCCCGCGTTGACCAATCACAGTCAAGCTCGCGGCAACGCTCTCTCACGCGACCGGTATAAATACTGGGACGCTGCGCTCTATGAATTCACTTCTAAGTGATGTGCCGTCCGATCAACACCCAGTATCCAGATCCAGCCAAGCAGCGAAGCAAGTTAATCAAGACCTAGGAAACGATGACTCAACCAAGCTCAAGCAGCAGCTAGCAAAGGAATCTCGAACCCAAGTCAAGAATCAAGTTCCTCGAGTAAGGTCAAGGAGCAAATTTGACAAGCAAGCTGAATCACCTATAGCGATTGGAGCGGCAAATCTCTCAGGGTCATCACGGAATCAATCCAAATCATCTACCTTTGGCAGTTCTATCAAAATCACCCAGGAAAATTCAAGACATCTCTAAATTCACGTTTGTATAAAATCCTCCAGCCGGAGAAGCCGATTCATTGATGAATCCGGAATAAAAATAAGTGCAATAGCATAGAGTGGTATTCAAAATTTCAAGTCCTTCTGACTGTCCTGCGCAAGGCAGAAGCCGGCGCATTACGTGCCTGGTGGCCCTTCAGGTCTCCTATCCAAGGATAGTAGCCGGCTCTTTCTGAGCCAGGTAAAAATAAAAATACCTAAGATAGGATCCCTCTGATCACTAAAAAATAGTCTCCCTTCAAATCTTTCTCTTCTCACTATAATTTATCGAGCTAAGGCAATTTGGGGGGTCGCTACGGCCCTTCACTTGTCTCTCATTTGAAAACCTCATATCCTATTCCACATTTTCTTTCTTTTCTATCCTTTCTACAATTGGTCCCTCTATACAACTCACTTTCGACATTTAGGTCTATCATATGTTTCCTCACCATTTTTGAGCCGTCATCCTACATTTTTTGGTCCCTCGGAAACTTATCACTTTTTGGCTACACTCATTTTTTTGGTATTTTTTTGACCCGTTCAATCCTACAACCCTCTCGGCTCGTTAACTGTCGCGGGAGAGTTTTATGGGTTTTTAAGGACGCTGCCGTCTATCCCAAAAAATATCGAAAACGCTCATTTGTCTTTAAAGAGAATCCGTGTTATTTCTGCGCAATCTGACAACCACATTATTTGTTCCAATTTCGCAAATTTGGAAAAAAGGCTATTACCCTCGTGTAGGTGAAAATTTAAAAAATCGGGCTTCGAGGTGCACGTGTGCGTATAAAGCTGCATCAGTGGGTAGAAAGGTTTATGTTGAGACTTTAACGGTATTCTCTGTACACCTTGACATAGATGCGGTGAATTTTTTAGATTTTTCGCAATAACTCGACCAATTGTATACATTATATGGACAAAAAGCTTCAGCATAACCATTTCAGCTCGTTCCTTCATCATGACGAATTTCAAGTTCATAGGATCAATAGTAGTTACGAAATAGGCAAAAATAGATTTGCAGATTTTTCGCAATAACTCGGCTAAAAATGAAAAATTCAAAAAAAGGAGATCGCGCCGTGCTACAGCACATAAGGTGTCACAGCTCCGTAAAATTTCCATACTCTCGCCCTAACGGTAACTTCAGGACAGCGCGGAACAGATCTCGACAATTTTAGGGCTTACGATTTTATAATATAGTAAGATTAGGACTAGCTTTGGTGCTTTTTTCAGGAATTTTTGTGCGATGCCAGTTGAGATATTACGCCTTGCACATCGTCCCACCTGAAAGTTTTATTAACTTTGACGTTCTGTCGTGGGCTGAGAAATTCACAGGGAGTGATCAATTTTCTGGCTTATGACTTACCTATTATAAGACTGCTCCCACCCATGTTTCGGTCATGAAATATGAGAGCTTGAAATCAGCTATTTTCACCTATAACAGCAGCCATTTCAAGACCTGATAACCTATTATCGAATCACTCATAGAATATTTGTGTCTTATAATTTTGATTATTATAATTTTGGATGATTTTTAATGAAATGACCCCCAATCTCAAGAGATTTGAGGCTTAAAGGGCAGTTTGGAGACTTGACATAGCAAGTCTCCGGGTAATGCAGGAGAGCTTTCTGGAGACTAGCAATGCACCTCAGTCTGATAGGCAAGTAACTTACAAACAGAAAGTACCCAATTTTGCAGTGTTGTGGTTTGCGTCCTATGTGTTAAAGTATTAACTACTTTTATGCCATGAGCACAATTTGAGCTTTTTGATACTGTAAAACAGCTTTTTATAGATTTTACTCTATTTTAACTCATTATTCGACTCAGTGGCAAGATGACTGCCTTACTAGTAACATTCTGAGTTACAGCTCCTGTTACTTTGCAGTTATCAAGTTAAAAAGATGTTTTACGGTTTTTAAAGTGAAGTTAGGCTTAAATCAAAGTTCTTGATGTACTATCATGCATGAAACGGTTTACTCCCATAATTCTATACTTAATATTCCCAGAGGAATTCCTTTTATTGTTAAAAAAAACTGGTGATTCAGTGTCTATTGTTAAATGTAATTCTAATTCTAATACAAGTCATGGTCTATCATCCAGGAATAATACTGGTGGTCAAGAAACTCCTCTTAATCAAAATAAGAATAGTTCACGTAGGAAATCATACGCCGGTTCCGATATCAGTTTTAGATTGAAGCAAAATTATAAAATACTTTCTGGGGCCCCAATCATGATATACTTTTTAAATGTGCAAGGTTTACATGGTAAAATTGATAACTTTAATCAAAATTTGTTTTGCGCTGCCATTGAATATGACATCATTGTGTTCAGCGAAACATGGTTTGATTATTCAGTTTTGGGTGCTTAATTGATGCTAAATGACTATCATGTCTTTCGCTGTGATAGTAATAAAGAGATCTCCAATAAGGGAAGAGGGGTTGGAGTTCTTGTTACAGTGGAAAAATACTACCCTTGCTCTGTAGCTCTATGAAAGAGCTGCCTCTTTGAGCAAATCTGTGTTAATGTAAAATTTGATTCCAAGAATATTCTAGAGTACAGTATACTTTCCCCCTGATTCCTCAGCACAACTATACAAAGAACATGTAAATACCATTGACTCTACTTTAAGTTGCAATTTCTATGAAGAATGCCTTTTTGTGGAGGATTATAACTGGGATGGAGTGGCTTCGATTGGCTTCATAGTGATGAAATGAGGTTTGAAAGATTTAATCGAAATCATTATGTTAGGGAAGGCGCTAATACAATCTATAGTAAATTCAACTCTCTGGGGCTGAAACAGTTCAATCATTACAAAAACTACTCTTCAAATGTTTTAGTTATCTTTTACAAGTTTTTTTAAAATCTTCCGTTTGCAAAAGTGTTGATCCTTTTATTCCTAACGATATTTTTCATGACTCTCTTGTTCTATACATTGAAGATGTTGTAACTGATACGGTTTTCCCAACTACTATGCACATGATTTTTTTATAGGGGATTATTCAGCAATTAATGAAGCATTGAAAAATCTGAACTTGTGCTTATTATTTTTAGAATATGGGCACTGTGCGCCTGAAGTGACTTTTTAAGAACTTAGACTCCAAAATATCGAATTTGATGATAAAATGAAAGTTTCGAGGTGTGATTTCTTCCAAAATTTTACGAGAATGTGCAATCTGAGAGTTTTCGATTAGAAAAGGCACATATGAACGATTTAGAATTGCGGTGTTACCAGCTTTATGATTTAAAATTTGTCAAAATGACCCAAATTGCGTTGCAACCTCTAGCGCTGGATTTTTATTTGTTCAGAATCGGTCATTATGTTTCCTCTTTACTCTATACATTTAGGTACCATGAAAATTATGCCATTACTTACTCGATGGGCGCAGTTAACTCAACGAGAGGGGCCGGATAAAGCGATGAGTGGGGGAAAAACGAGCGGTTTGGGTTGACAGAAAGCTCTAAAATCTACTCCATCAACAGAAAGTAGAATTTGAAAACTATCCCCCACCCCCCAAACCTCATCCCTTTTGCAGTCAATACTTGGAACATCCTATCTAAAATTTTGCCCTCAAATTTTTCCCAAAAACATGAAAAATAAAAACACAAAGAAAATGAGCGGAGAAAGACAATTCAAAAAACTTTTGAAAGTCCCCGAATTCGACCTCTTCTCACAGTGGATTGGATAGTTCGAATCCAGCAGACTTCTTACTGTAAAGAAAATTACCTTCCACAATTTAAAGAATAAAAAATTTGCATATCTCAATGATTATTAGTTATATAGAAAATAATTTCCCTGATAACAAAAGTAGACTAGACCACGAAATTAAATGTTTTTTGTCATATAAAGAGATGTTAAACATTTCGAAAAATAATATATTCCTTCGCTTAATAAAGAAGACATTTTTCATGTCTAAAAACGGAAAAAAAATAAACAGTTTTTTGTTGAATTTAAAAGGTAAAACCAAATGGTAAATAAATGGTATGTTCCTTTCTTAAGTCCAGAAATATATTATTTTTCGAAATGTGAATATGCCTTTTCTAAACGAAAACTCTCAGATTACACTTTTCTTGTAAAATTTTGGAGGAAATCACACCTCAAAACTTTCATTTTATCATCAAATTCGATATTTTGGATCTGCAACTTGGCACCGCTACCACGGGGGGCACATAATTTTGGACGGGCATGAAAATTTTAAGAAATTTACATCTTATACCAGATAAAAACATCCTAAAAAATCTGATCGGTCTCAGCAAGGATGAGGGAGAAGAGGTTTAATTTGTCGCCCCATGCCCAGTTCGATATTTTATGATTCTTTTTCCTCCTTTATTGGGTTGTATCAGCATAATACTCACTTTTCCCTTTTCGCCCGATTTGACATTTCGGTTGTCAACCTTAGACTTGAAACACGATGGCCATTTCGGCTTTCCCAGCCATCATCAGGTGACCATAAAAAACGAAAACGAACGAAAATAAAACGAAGCGGAAGTTAAAACATTACATAGAATATCATTACCGGCGACGCGTCGCGAAACTGGCGATTGCAATATCAAAATCATCGTGTTTTAAGTTTAAGTTTGACAACCGAAATTTCAAACCGGGCGAACAAGGAAAAGTGAGTATTATTATTGCTATTTTACCCCTAAAAAAACATAATAATGCGATTATTTTTCTGAGAGCTCCGATGACCTATTTCGAAATTGCCCAAAAATCCATCAAGGAGTACCCCACTACAACCTCCAACTTGAATTGTTGTTGTACACTCAAAGTTCTTAATATGTCACTTCAGGCGCACCTTGTGGGGTCAATGAAATGGCCATAACTTTTTCTGATAAACTGTCTGATATTATAGACAAACCCATACCGCTGAAACTGGTCAAGCCACACTTCTCAACAAAGTTATCTTGTATCACACCTGCACAATATGGTCCATACACTGCTAAAAATTTTATTCACAAAACAGTGTTTTTTAAGACATTCTGAACAATCAACAGTTGTAACGGGTGTTATCATTGAATGTTTCAGAACCTTAGACAATCAGTGTCCTAAGCAGATGACCAGTAATTAGCAAACGTCTTACATATGAACGCAGCCAAGTCTGATTATTGTTGCCAGTTGAGTTGATGTATTACAGAAATATCAAAGTCCTGATATTGCCACATAAATGATAAATTCAGTGGCGATGCTGGCTGTGTATGATCATGATTTGTAACTACATGTATCTACTGTCAGCTTTAAATCTGTGAAGCAATTTGTTTTAAATGTTTTTATCGACATTCAATACTCAATTGATTTTGATAGGTATTTTAAAAGCTTAAATTAAGCAAATATGTAGTTTACTAATACTTACTGATTTCAGCGTGCCGCACTGTTAGAATCTTTGGCTGATTACCAAGCCTCCCCAGATGTCTTGAAGAAGCTGGTCTCAGTCGCCAAAATTCAGACTAAAGGTCTGAAGAAAGCGCGGAACTGTAATGAGAACCTCTTTGATCATAAACTGCTGGACACAGAGAATGAACACTCCTCGAATGTAAATATCATTTCTGGCAGTAAAAAGCGAAAACAGCTTCTTACGGACTACAAAGAACAAAAGAAGAAGAGGCTCAGACATGGTGCAAACATCGTTAACTTTGAAGTGAGTTTTTGCCTCTACATCCTTGACTAGACTGCACCTATTCAAATAGTTCCAGTTTCTTATAAATCCAAATCTATTTTCATCCACTTGAAGATTTGAACAGGTACATGCAGTAACGAAGATTTTCATGCTTTTAGCATAGAATAGGGTACTTCCGTTAAGTTTCAAATTAAAAAACGTACAGTTTAAAGGAAAAGTTATGCATGATTTGTCTAGCAAGGTCAAGGCAGAAAGTTGCCACTTTCCAGTTAAGATGCAAACCTATGTCCTTGAACGACACGGAAACAGACTGATCCGTCAAATACTTATCGTTTTTGGGCGCAGGTAACAGTTTTCAAATTTTTCGACTCGAAAATTTTACCATTGTAGACTGGGCCGAAAATAATTGGACAGCTTTATGCAATAAGGAACTAAGGTCAAATTTTCGATTTTTTTTTTATATGATGAATTCCGTATCAGGAGGGTATTTACTTACTATTGAGAAAAAGAAAATCCTCAAAAACGATTTTTATCCCGCTACAGTGACTCCGCAAAAATTTGCCATCGCAGGATCACGCGAAGTTCATTTTGCAATTGGGACCTATACTATGGTTCCCTATTGCGTAATGCGAAACTCGGATTTCCCATTTTGCAATTCGGAACTATAAGCAGGACGGTAAAATGCTATCTCGGCTTCTGTTTGATCGATCTTGCTGATTTTTGGTACCAGGGGATATTATTGGACGGGAAACTCGAACTTCTGGTCAAATTTTGAAAATTCGAAAATTCAAGATGGCGGATGTGGCCTTAAATGCTATCTCGGCTCCTGTTCAATCGATCTTGCTGATTTTTGGTAGCAGAGGGTATTTTTGGACGAGAAACAAGAATTTCTAGTCACATTTTGAAAATTCGAAAATCCAAGATGGCGGATGTTTTGTCTAAACCGCAAGTCAATATCTGCAACCGTTCTCGAAGTATTAACAAATACCCATATCTTCTACGCCCTCTATAGAAATGCCACCCCCACCTCCCCCCCCTAGAAAAATTAAGTGAGGGTTTGTGAAAGATGTAGAAAAATCCATCAGATGTAGCTGAATCAACCACCGCAAACCGCGCTTCGATATCTAAATCAGGAAACAATTTCTAGTCGGAATTGGACATTAAAATACGTACGTGCAGAAATGAGTGAAAATCAGGAACTTTGACCACCTGTTGCTCGAAAACGGTTTGTATACTCAATCTGAAATTTTAGGATGTGTAAAGGGGCATCCTAAGGATGAAAAATAACCTCTCACGGACCCCGATTTTGAGAGCCCAAAAACGGGCGAATTTGTGCAAGGCTCTTCATAATACAGAATACCAAAATAGACATATGCAAAATTTGGAGGTGAACGGACGATATTTAGGGGTGCTGACGCCCCCTATACACGAACAAACGCCCATTTTGCCATTTCTTCCAAGGATTCATGTTACTTTCCAGGTAAAGTAGAATTTTCCGACGGTCGTTTTTTCGCTTATGAGGGAGTCGAACGCCCTCTAAAAATAATCCGATAGTTTCCAAAATTTTGCTTAACTTTACCTCAGCATGGTTTTTTTTGTTAAATTTTCTACTGGGAGTAAGCATTCCAAACGCGCAACATGCATGTGTTAAAATCGCCTTGGAGTGTAAATACGAAATATCACTTCCGATTTTCGTCCAACGAGGGGTTGCCTTTGCCAGCAGTACTGCCGTGCTAAGGAAAAACGCCGTATGAACCTCCAAGCATTGCCAAATTTCCTTTGATAAAACACGAATTTCCTGGTAAACTTCTGAATAATTTTTTTCCAATTTCTCAGATAATTTTACTCGCGATTTCACCTGAAGTTCCTGAAAATTTCAAGGAAAAATATTCATAACTTTCCTAATAAATATTTTATGGAAGGTAATCTGGCAACTGTCGAATACGGCGTTCTTCCTTAGCATGGCAGAGTACACGCGCACATCGCAGTCGCGGTAAAAGGTGCAGGACGCAGGTAAAAAAAGAGGCGCTGCCATCGTGTGCTTAATTCATTCAGCGAGCGCGGTGGGCCTTAAATCAGTGGGCTCAAATTACACTCAGAATTGAGCCCAAATCGTCGGCCGCTAGGTTGCTGCTCGCGCCCGTGGCTTGAGCGTTATTCCCAGCGGTAACTGCTCTTGCTCAAATCCCAATGGAGATGTTGCGTGTGTGAGGAATTTGCGATTGGACTATTGATTCTGATGTAAAAGTTTGCGAGGAACACGAAAGTGCTTCTGGTTTTCCCTGAAATAATCTCCTAAGCTCAAAAAAAGCTCTCAAAGTTGAGAGCGTAATGGAGGGGATATTCCACGCTATCCTGAGAGTCCACCTTTACGTTAAGACAAACTCTCCATGCTAAGATAGGGAGCAAATACATTGACAGGGCTGCCACTTTATTTGGGGACTCCAAAACTGAAAACCCGGCAACCCTGCTAATGTATTTGCTCTCTATCTTTGCATGGAGAGTTTGTCTTGATGTAGAGGTGGACTCTCAGGATAGCGTGGGATATCCCCTCTATTACGCCCTCAACTTTGAGAGCTTTTTTTGAGCTTGGGAGTTGATTTCAGGGAAAACCAGAGGCACTATCAAGTTGCTCACGAACTTGTACATCAGAATCAATAGTCAAATCGCAAATTCCTCACAAATGCAACATCTCCATTCTTCTGCGTGGCTCTGTATGCAGCATACAGAGCCAGTATGCTTCCCGCTCTTGGGACGACTGGACGGCACCACTCACTTATTGCTCTGCTCAACAGCGAATTAGTAGCAGTGCTCACGAAATATGCTAAGGGGCCCTGCGTACGGGTCGGTAGTCTATGTAATAAAATTATTGAACGTATGCCAAGACCTTGGAATCCCCCCTCTCCCCTGTGTCCGGCGCTCCTGAAATCTATCGGCCGAACTCCGGCGGCCGGGTCTCCGGCCCGACCCTCCGGAGGTTGCTGCTGCCGTGAAGGGTTTCTTCGGAAAACTGTTGCCGCTCTCGCCTCGTTCATCCTTTCGACTCATTGTCAGTATTCGGCACGCGTGTGCTCCTCGGCGGCCGGCGCTTAAGTTCCAGGATTCTCCGACCCCGTCTTTTCCGGAGGGGCGTTTTTCCGAAAGGCTGGTTTTTGACCACTGCCATGTAGCGCCAACTCGTACCTTTCCGTCGTGAAAACGTATAACAATGCGCAAAGTTCAATAGTGCCATAACGTCAACGCTCAATGGTCAACTGCAATTTTTTCTAGAATTCTATTTCCCTTCTCCTCTCCCCCCTCTTCTTCCTCTGCCTTCGAAAATTTTTTATTTTCAGTTTGTTGAAGTAATCATCAATAAATTGGAAAGGAACAAGAAAAAGTGCGCGGGAAACGACGGGAGGAGTGCAATCTTCTTCACGCTGAATTTTCTGAAATCTAGCTCGCAAATTTGGTACCTTCTTTTCCTTAAAATTCCCCTCTTATTCCCCTGCAAATTTCCCAATTTTAGTCTTCTACCTTTTCTTCATGCCAAAATATTTTCTTATTTTTGAATTAACATCCAAATACCAGCTAAATTATAGAGCAGGGGAGTTCTCGTACTTTCTGGATGTGTTGAAACCAGGGAACAATGTTATGCCTATCCCCCTGCCTCAAAGAGACGATTCGAATAGCTTAATTAGGGTCCACTCTTATTTTTTCAATACGACAGTGGAGCTCTTGCATGCCTCTGGAATTTATGGTTTTTACAGTTCATTGCCGTAAAATTTGACGAGAAACATGATGGTGCCACTGGTTTTCTCTAAAACGAACTCCCAAGACGACCCGTATCTAAAGTTTCACTTGGTTAGTTCAGGTCGGGCGAGATTGGTGACTGTGGGAATGGAGAGAGAATCAACCCGAAGAAATCCGAATCGTCTTGAAGGCTCCTTTACTCTCCTTTGGAGGTAAAGGGTTGCCCTAATTTTAATATTATAGGTTCCCCGCAAAATGTTGAAATCTATCATTATTAGAGGAGACAGGAAATTGACATTAATCGAAACCAAAAAGACCAAAATCGCTCCATCTCCATCCGAAATACTAACCCCTGAAGGTGGGGACCAGAGTTCCCCTTTACATATTAACAGGTCGCTGAATTGGCGTAGAGAATTAGGAAGCAGATGTTTTCAAGCAATCTATCCTCGAAAAATCTGAATTTCTTGAGAATTCCGTCCGCATTTATAGAGTGCTTGTGAATTCAAAAAGTTTAAGCGACCCCCCCCCCCCCCCATCCCATCAGTGAAGCCTAAGGGGTCTGAAGAACTATCAAATTCACATTATTCGAGACTGATAACACAGACTTCATCAAATTCACACAAATTCTGATTGGTCGGTGTGAATACAAATATTTGTTGTCCTCAGATATAGCAAAGGTGGTTTTCATGCAATGTCTTGGTATAACATTTTCTTTTCTTTTCTTTTCAGTTATCTGACAGTAATGATGCAGATTTTGGTTCATCTAATGATGAAGAGGCTAGGCCTTGTTGTGAAACTTCTCCCGATCAATCTAAGTCACAATCTGAGACTTGTGCAGAGAGTTTTAAAACCATTTTTGAAAACAAAGAAGTGAAGAAACAAGTCGTCAACAAAGAAAATGGAGAAATCAATAAAAAGGTAGTGGATGAAGACACTGAAACTCGCAACTTTGGAAAAGGATTGATGGACTCAGCATCTGAAGTGAAGGTTAAAGTAGAAGTAGCAAGTGAAGGCATAGCACCGGTCAGCAAGCCAGCATTTTACGTACCTGTTGAACGAGATGAAAAAATTCAAGCATCTCGTTTGAAACTGCCTATTCTTGCAGAAGAGCAAAGTATCATGGAGACAATCACAGAAAATTCCATCACCATTATTTGTGGTGAAACAGGCAGCGGCAAAACAACCCAAATACCACAGTTCTTGTATGAAGCAGGTTATGGAAGGCAAGTTATTTTTTATGTAACTAAAGACTTTGTCTGTAGAATGGCGCATTACGCAATACACCCTTTCTGTGCAATCACTGACTTTGTATCTGCATATCCTAGAGGACACATTCTTAATTAGTATGATGATACATTGATTCTCTGAATCCTTGGAGGCTAAAATGTAAAATATTCTTCTGCAGGCAATGACACCATTGTGTCAGCTATCAAGGTAACAGGTCTTGAGATTGAAATCGAAACTTTAAATTCGCTTTCCCTCAAAACAGTTCAGCTAGTATAAACGCCCCTCCGTGGGCAATTCCTTTCATTTAGGCTAATTTTTATGAATATGGACCAATGTGCGTTAGATTTTTTAAGAACCTTAAAGTCCTTTACTTTTTATTAATTATTGGACGGATGATCAGGCTACTGCCAATCATCCTCAGCGTGCAAGTTGCGACTGGCTGTCATTCTTCCTTTCCTTAAACTGGATGATGGGCAGTAGCCTGTCGAAAGGTGTATCCAATAATTGTCCAAAGGCAAAGAAATTCAAGAGTTTTCAAAAATCGCAGATTTAGTACTCAAATATTTTATTCCATCAGGCTCTTTCTTCATGTCTATGATTCCCATGTGAAGTATGTTTCCCAAAGTAAAAAAATTTGTATGAAATTATAATCTCTTCAGTTGTTTGCTCTCCATGAACTTAGTTCTCAGAAGAGTAACTGATGATAGTAACATTCGTTTTTGATTTGACCTAGCTAATAGCTATGCTCCCAAAAATGTGTCAACTTTCTTCATGACAGTGAGATAAGGTTTTGTTACAGTAATGGCCAAATGATTGGAGTTACTGAACCAAGGAGAGTCGCGGCAATTTCGATGTCAAAACGTGTTGGAATGGAGTTAAACTTATCATCTGATGAAGTGTCATACTTGATTCGATTTGAAGGAAATACTGGTCCATCAACAAAAATTAAATTTATGACCGATGGAGTCTTGCTGAAAGAAATTCAAAGTGTGAGTTCAGTTATTTAATGTTTTGTCTGTTCCTTGACAATATTCCATTTCACTACTTAATGTGTCTTAATGTTGAGGCAACGATGGGAATTGACAACCTACCAAGAGAGCTCATAGCCAGTAACATTGATCAGATTGCTGACACTCTAACTTTCCTAATCAATAAGTCTCTTGAAAAAGGTGAATTTCCAGACCACCCCCATGACCACCAATGGACCCCCATCATTGACAGGCAATATCAATCGGTGCACTCGGCTGTACCTCCGCTGTTCCCACGGCAACATTATCGTGCGTTTAAGCGCCTGGCTAGTCTGGAAATGCTGCCACTTCTACGCAGCTGTTTCCTCAATTTTATGGGTGCGCATCATATACGCTTTTTTTAATATATATATATATATATATATATATATATATATGCCTTATCATAACAGCAAAATCGGCTTGCTCATTACACACGAATAAATAGGGACCCAAACGTTTTAGATTTCCTAAGATTCGAGCTAGATATCCAGCAGGCAAGTGCATAAATTTCACTGTGCTTCAAGTTGATGGATTTTAGAGAGCTGCGCATCCATCTGTGAATATGTTTGTGTGCACTAAACATGGTCCACACCAGAATGCATCAATCCATACCTACTAGTATTCATGCATTCAAGTATTCAAGTTGCAGCAACAGTAAAAGCTGCCTTTCAAGACACCATATTACACTACCTCTCGTTTTGTTCTCGTTGCAAATGGTTATGAATTTCTTTGAAATTTTATTGCAACTTAAAATCAATTTTCTTTCTCTCACCTGTTTTGCGATTTGTTTTTAGGACTTCCTGTTGACCAAATATTCAGTAATAATTTTAGATGAAGCTCATGAGCGGAGTATTTTCACAGATATTTTAATTGGTCTTCTCTCAAGAATTGTTCCCCTTCGAAGTAAAAGAAATAACCCTCTTAAACTTATCATCATGTCTGCAACTCTAAGGATAGCAGATTACACAGAAAATCCTCGACTGTTCAAAAAACCACCCCCAGTGATTCATGTGAGTTCATTTATTTCTTATTTGTTCATTTGTCTCATTTTTGGGAAAATTGTACAGCACCTCTTGATCTTTCAACTTGCAAAAATTTGCAAGTTGAAATCGAGGTACCGAGGTAACATTTTACCTCGGTAAAATGTTTTTTTTTTTTTTTTTTTTACTACTTCAAATAGCCCACAAGGGCTAATCCCACGCTTTAAGTTCCATCCCCCCTCCGTCCCTACTGAACCAGCCCCAGGCAACCATTGTTTGAGACCATCAAACTCGGGTCGCCTGGCCGGGAATCGAACCCGGGACCTCTCGATTATAGAGCAAGCACTACAACCACTACACCATAGGAGGCCGACAGGAGGTTACTGGATGTGTAAAGGCATTAGTCAGTGTAGTCACACTTTACCATAATCTATCTGTTGTTTTGAAAAAAGGTGTGTTCTGTTGTAATCAGATCCAGTTCACCTCAATCTAAGAGGTCTGTGCTAACTTTCAAAAGGTTCGAACTAGACGGTAGATTGGGTTTGGTTTGATTCTGAATTTCTGGCTCAGAAATTTTAAAACTCTCCAAGACGACTTTTCATAGTTTAGCACTCGCGGGTATTTGTAGTTTTTAGCAAAAGCTCTTGAACTTCAGAGAACTATAGAAATTTTTCAAATGCTTGCTTGTGATTGCAGCTTTACTCAAAATTTTACCGGCTCTTCAAAGTCTGACTTCATTTTGGCAATTTTGGAAGCTCTAGAGTGTGATAGCCAATTGTATCAATTTTGCAGGTGTTAGCTTGCTCTCTGTTTTTTGCAAACACTTTATTTTTGGGGCCTTTTGCTAATAAAACAAAACAGAATAGAACAGATTGAAGCAAGACAGTACACATGGGAAATCCACCCTTTCACAGGTGCTAGACACATATAGAAGCCAACAACATAATAAATTAAAATCAAATTTTTGATGTTGCAAACCTTCAGGAAATGTTAGTAGGTTAACAATGAAAACAAGATATACTCTTATGGCTAAGGAAATATAAAGGAGAAAAAAGTGTTGTTGTCCTGGAACATAGGGTATATAGGGTAGTTCCTAAGCAACCACATTACTCAACGTTCTGCTGCCTTTGAAATTTCCTTAAAAACAGGAACCAGACATAGTTCAGCTATCCTTGAACAAAATGTCCATAGCTGGTGCAAAGAGTCACTACTAGAGATATCCCATCTCCTCCTGGATGCGACGTTTAAACTCCTGCTGAAAGTCAAAATGACGGATCCAGTTGTTTGACGGTTACAAGTATCAGAGATTCCGGTGCCATAAGTTTTTCCTTTTGGCACTTATTCTTCTTCCTCTGCAAACTTCCAGGGCATAGCTCTGTTTTTCAGGCCATCTAGTACAGAGCACATCATATAAAGGCTGTTCCAAAAGTACTGCCTCTTTACTCTTCACAAGGAGAAAGAACACAGATATCATATTGCGGTTTCTGTGGGGCTATAACTCTAAAAACTGCCCTTAAAATGAGACCAAAATGTGCTTTGTAACAGTAAATTTGACTGAGATACATCATTTTGAAAATGAACCTTCTAGGAGGGGAAATGGTTGACTCTTCCAGGATTCTCAACATTTTTTAAGAGAGAAAATAAAGTTCCTTAAAAATGAAACAGTCGATATTAAAAACATCTTCTTTTCCGAGCCCCTATGTCAATTCAGCAAACTTACATGAAGGAGGGCTCTGTCCCCCACCCTCAGGGGTCAACATTTTGGACATAGATGTTCCGATTTTGGATTTCTTGGTGTCGATCTAGGTTAAAATTTTCCGTATTTACTAATTCCGATTACCTAGCTTCAAAATTTTGACAGAAGCCCCGACTTTTGAAGCATTGGCCCCCCTTCTTACATTCCAGGGAGGGCTGAAACAGTTCCAGAACCATGAATTTCGGATTCTTTTTTTTGAGTTCCTGTTTGTCCTTGCGGTTTTAAAAAAAAAAACCAAGATAAACGCCTGTTACGGCAGGTTTGGGCCACCCTGTATATTAAATGGGTTAGCTACGCTAGTCAAAGAATCGTGTTTTGATGCTTACTTCTTTTAGATTAGCTAAAAATAATAAGATCTGTGCAAATCGCAACTTTCTACGTTCAATATTAAAGGAGATATCGCGCTTTGAAAAGTTAGGTTCTTGACGTCATCCACCGCGATAGTGACATCCTTGGTTTTTTCCTCTTTTGTTCGAGCAGTGATGCAGTGGGCGCATCGCAAAACGTCAACGTCGTTGAAAGTAAGCAAACTCAAGAAACAGACGGACTCGCGCTTCAAAGATCTTCTTATCAGGAGATAACGCACTTGCTGCAAAAAGATCCGCGGTCAGTCAGTTCACCTCAATTTGTTTATTTTTATTGTCGTTGAAGTTTCGCATTGCGCCCTCTGCATCACTGATAGAACAAAAGAGGAAGATACCAAGGGTGTCACTACTGCAGACGTCAAAAACCCGACTTTCCAAAGTGCAACATCTCTGTCAATATTGAAGGTAGAGAGTTGCTGTTTGCACACATCTCATTATTTCTAGCTTATTTACAAAGATCAAGCATCAAAACACGATTCTGTTACCAACGCAACTGGCCCATTAGCAAACTGTATTAGCTAAGTTTATAAAGAAAATTTGTAAATTTTTAATCAAATATTTTTAATTGAAAACCTAATATTTGCAACAAAAAAAATAGGTTTGAGGTTTACACGTTGAATTGCAGAACTTTTTTCAAGATTCGAAATAAGAAATTCAAGGTTTGCACAGCCTTACAATCTAATTAGTTGAAAGTTCAAACCTCTTTCTCTCAGCGTTGACTAGATGTGAGCTGTTTCCACTCAGCTGAACCTTGTGTTTTCTGGGTACATTTATCGTATCCTGTAAATATTGTCAAGATTTCATGATTACAAAGAAAATATTTACAACTTCTCACTGAGTTATAACTTAATAAAAAGTTGCATGATTTTTCCAGATTGAATCACGTCAGTACCCAGTTGTAATTCACTTTAACAAACGGACAAGTGTGGATTATGTAAGAGAATCTTTTTCCAAGGCATGCAAAATACACTGTCAGCTTCCAGAAGGAGGAATCCTTATTTTTTTAACAGGTTGTATGGTTTGTATGTTCATTTAATATTAACCAAAAGGAAGGTCCCATAGATGATCTATATAAATTTTCTCAAACTCAAGCTGTTTCCAATTTCCTCATGAAAGTAATTTTATATTGAAGAATTCCCAACTTCAGGCAAACCATTCCTTTTAGTACCTCAGTGGTTTTAGTAGTGCCAGTAGTATTAAGTGACATTTTTGTGGTTTCATTTAAAATTAATTCAAACTTGAATATTGAGACGAAAAATAAAATGCAGTGTTCACTTTCCGCTCAAAGTATACTCTGAGATAGGTTTATTTTTTATTTTCTATTTATTTCTTTTTAGTACATTACAAGCACTACTTTTGCAGGATGAAATGAATGTTCTTCTAAATTTACATTTTACTATACCTAAATTAACAAGCAACTGAGAAAAAAAACACTAAGAAATGGCCCGAACTACATATGTAACAAGGTGGAGAAAAGGTGCCGGGTCCACACCATTTTGCGGGGAAATCAAAGCCAAGAAATTCCGAAAATTATAATTAGAGTCAAAAATTAAATTCTTTTACCTCTAATGAGTACCAGCACAAAACTGAGGGGAAAGAGTGTTCAGCTCAGGCAGTTTGCATTGGAATATTATTCACTGACGAGTATGATCTGCTGATGAGGTCTAAAAAGACCCAAACCGGTACAGATCTCTCGGCGTGACTCAAACTTATTATTCCAACATAAACTGTCTGAGCTGAACACTCTTCCCTCCACAGTTTTGTACTGGCGCTCATTGGAGTTAAAATATTTTTTGACTCTAATTATAATTTTTGGAACCTCTTGGCTTTGATTTTCCTGCAAAATGGTGTGGATCCAGCACCTTTTCTCCACCTTGTTTAAAAAACAACTTGATATACATCACTATAATGAAGCTGGAAGGCAAGCTTGTAGAATAGAAAAATCAGGCGCCGCATAGTGCAATTGCGTGCGGCTTAATGGGGGCCTTTGCCCGCAGCGACAGCCAACTTTTCCCTCTTTGCACCATGCCTTTGCCACCATGCCTTTGCACCATGCCTTTGCACCATGTCGTGCCTCTCACTTCCTCTCCAGCCACTGGGCAGTCTCCTCACCCCATCGCCCATCCTGTCCTACCTTCTTAGTGTCAGTCGAAGGAATGTGGCTCGTCTTGCAAGCAGAAGTCACTTGCTGAGCGCATAAGGAGGGTGCAGGCTTGTACAATCATTTCACTGCTAATTATTCACATGCAATTAATGCGTACGAAACATTTGAACTTTACTCTTGGTCCTGTAGAAATTCATTCATTGAGGAGTAGGGATTATTTTCTTAGACGTTTATTTAATTTCTCAAAAAAATGAGGAAGTTGAAATTTTACCTATGATGATAACTTCCAACTCTTCTTGCAGAGTATTAAATATGCACTTTGCCCAATGAGATGACAGGGAATCTTTTCCAGTCTCTTTTAAACTATCCTTTTCTGCAAAACAGTGCTAGGGTAGATATCTGTGGGAAGGATTTGTGTTTTCCTAGTTTATTTCCCCTTGCGATACTGCCACAACGTTTTACTTGAAGTGACAAATGTCTGCATCATTGTGTGCACAAAAGTGTCACGTGATACCCTTATCTGTGATACCATTTAATCGTAGGAATGCATAATATTACCTCATGCAGTGCTTATGGAGCAATTTAGAAACTCTGCAATTGAGCTTTTCCTTTCCAAATCTCAAAATGTATACCTTTATCAGTTAATATTTAAATTTTTATTACTAAAACATGTAAGCCAGTGAACAATCGTAGAAGCAGCAAAGAAATTATGTCTCTCTATTTTCCCCTCTATGTATGGGGATCATTATCATCAAGTGCAGGTTTTGCCTTAATGTTCTTGAATTTTCAATTTAAATTTAAAAAAGAGACTTAGCTCTAACAAGTTTTTCGTGAAAAAAAATATCACCAGATATTATGCCAAAAAGGAAGCATTGGAAAGTCAGGGAATTTTATGTTCAAAGCCCCAGAGAAGTCAAATCAGCCCAAACATTCCAAAATGGGGTTTTGGTAGCTTGAACTGATATTAATCTGATTTAATTAGGTCAATTCTATGACACCAAACAATCAGGTTTTTAAAATTTCAGCCACTCTTCTTATCTGGAAAATGTGGTGATCTTGGTGGCATTGAACATCTTGTATCTACTGGGTTACTAATGGTTTTTATGTGTGGATGTGTTTCAGGTCAGCAAGAGGTTAACACCCTGGTTAAAAAACTTCGGAGGACATTCCCCTATAAAAAAACCTGGAACTTGGAGAATGAAGGAAAAATAGGAGATGATGAAGATTGTAGTGCCAGTGATGGAGAAAATGTAGAAATGAGTCTGTCAAAAGCAATTCAGGAAATTAGAAAATCAAGAAAGACAGTCGTCAAAGCACTTCCAGAAATCAATTTAGATAGGTATAAACGGAAAGTTTTTGGACGAAGTGTTCCTGGCACAGAGACTGTTACACAACTGTTACAGAGGCAGAAATATTTTGGATTTATGCCCTGGTGCAAAGTGAGTTAGTAAAGGAAAGTTTTGGAACGGGCTGTTTCCTACACATTGGATCACAGGAGGAAAACTTACGCACAAATTTTTAAGTGTATTTTCTAAAAAAAATACACTGTTGCGATTCCTGCTGATATCAGACCTTAGCCTAAAACCTCCGAAAAAGTAGTGAGCCGAGGACATATTTTATGAATATGATGGCCGTTCAGATGTTTCTTCCCATGATACAGATGCATGTAATTGTTAAAAGGAGGATTTAAGTAGTCTGATATAACAAAAAATGAGTATACCAAAAACAGGGTGATGGCTGTAATAAAAATATTAAAAATTAGGACGTTTCGAGGCTGAAGAGCTCCCATCTTCAGCCAAAACTAAACCGAAATGAAGCTAAAAAAAACCACACAGATGAGACGGTCCTACCGCCCCCACTCTCATTATGCGAAACAAGACTGTCTCACTGAGCTAACCGAGGACCTGATCTGCTTCATGATGGGGTTGGACTGATGCGCCATTTTTGTACTGATCCATTCTCTATGGATGGCGTTATTCGACTGCACGGTACCCTGACCAGCTAATCCTCTAAGTATCGCAAAGGTGCCTTTATAACTTTATGACCGCTGTCCGTAAAATTTCCTACCGCTGAGGTGCTTTTACCGGATGACTTTTTAACCGCCAGACGGAAAATTTTCTACCGCTAAGGTTTCTATGGAAGGAGGGGACACCCAAAAATGAATTTCTCTAGGAAAACCCCCATTTTACTGCGTTGTTTTTTGTGTACAAGAGGCGACCCAAAAAATCCAGAATTTTGCTGTAACTTGGCGACGGTGGAAACTATCCGAGTTCTACCGCTTGGAGGTGTATCCAGGAGCTATGAAGAGTTACTAGGCCATAGATGGTTATTCAAAATCGGTGATTTTGCCTCTCTCATGGATTTTTCCCGGAGTTGGATATGTTGTTCCCTATCACAGGACACGCCTTTTTCCGGCAATGGCAAGTTCACCCAAAATTTTCCCTGTGCGCCACAGCGTTGCCAAGTCGAAACCGTGAACATTTCGCAGGTGGCATTAAAATTGAGCTATGAAGTCGCAGTTTCGACGAAAATTTTCAAAAATGCGCACTCCAAAGATATCTTCATGAATTTAATGTCCATTAATTTTAACATGCATTGTTGCCAATTTTTCGATTTTTAAATACATCCATTTTTACAAATCCGCCAAAATTAGAAAAGGGCTCCATTTTAATTGGAATAAAAAGTTGTCCATTCGATAGTTCGTTTGATTTTGCATCCATTGATATATTATACCTCGCATGGAAATGTTTTGTTCGCGAGATTTGGCCATTTTTTTAAACAGCTTTATTGAGTGACGACGCTTGTTAAGTCCAGGCAGATAGAAATTTTAGCCCTCAAAGACACGGGGTAGCATTAATTCCATGATTTAATGTTTAATTTCAAGCAATAATGTTGGTTTCATCCCCTCTCCAAAAATAAAATAGGAGCGAATATTTTGAAACACCGCAACCAAGATACGCACTTTTGCAGTTTTACCATCGAAATATTACTCCACTATGGTGGCCGATAAAAATGTGACCTTCGAAGATCTCTGAAATCATATATCCAAGGAAAAAGTGCCAGCTTTCAAAGTTAGAGAAATTACCCTCGACATCATCAGCAATGAAGCACCATTAATTTAGGAACTACCTTCATACTCAACTGTGGATGGGATGAAGCGATCTGGGTGCTTGTCAGTGGGAATGGATGAATAAAAACAAGGAGTTTCATCCTATTTTAGGTGACTTGCCTGCAGCTCCTGGAATCTCCGCTTACAATTATCTGATGTAATTGTAAGAAAGGGTGTGACGCCATGCTGTACCTCTGAGTAAATTATCTTATCGTTCTTGGACGAGAAGTTGTGAAGACTCCAACCGTAAAAACTTACAGAACCGTACGGTAGGAAGAAGATCCTGACGAGCCTGACTCAGAATGTGAATCAGCATGTGTTGACTCAGATTTTCTTTTATATTGACTAGAGAGGGTACGGTGGGTGCGTCGCATGTAATGTCCTTATCTTTATTGGGAAATTATATGGGTTTAAAAATAATTAAAATAACTCATTATAAATGCTCGTTTTAACATCATTTCTACCGTGGACGGCCAAACTGATCACATTCTTAAATGTTTCGTCTAATTTTTGTGTAAAATAATTTTTTTACATTTCATTTAAATTCGTTTTGTTGACTGAAAATACGTAGAAATTGATACCTCACTAGCCATCTCACGTGATTTTTTTGTCATAAAAATGCACACTCCTGCCTTTCAACTTTGGCCGCCATCGTAGACTTGGGGCACCAGTTTTGACCTGGGGGCTTTTTTGACTTCATTGATGAAATCTACGTCCAAAAATACATAGGAAATGATATATCACTTGCCTTATCACGCAAAAGTTTAAAACATGCACCCTCCTGGCTTTAAAATTTGGCCGCCATCTTGGATTTGGGGCACCAATTTTGACCGGGGGGTTGTTTTCAGACTTCAAATTTGAAATCTGCGACCCAAATTACATGGAAAATGATACCTCACATGTCAGGATATGCACAAGTGAAAATACTGATATTCCGGAGGTCTAATTACGGGCGCCATTTTTAATTTTAGGTATTTTAAGGGGTGTTCCGGGATCTGACAGTGATTAAATTTTAGAATACTGTTTGAGAGAACCTATTATTGACGTTTACACAAGTTTTGATCGCATTTATCTCTGTTAACAGCGTTCTAACAATGATTCAACGCGAAAATTCGACAAAACAAAGTGAAATCAGAGCCCTAGACTCCCATGGCCTCAGAATTTTGGGCTCACCTGCGAAATTGAGCTTTCTGTAGATAAAGATGATATCATGAAAGTTTCATGGTTTTTTCCAGAAATGCACGATTGTTATGCTTATTCACCCTACTATCACAGAAATGCGATTTTTTTTATACTTCCATCGGTTTTAGCGTTGGTGATGGCGGTTTTGAGCCGTACAGGAGTTTCGGACGATACAGCACCATTTTTAAACAAAATAACTGTACTGAGACCGAAGTTTGTCCTTCAGAAGCAGCTTTTTAGAAGGCTAATAGAGAAATCCGTGTTTTTATCGAGTAAGAGAGAAAAATTTGAGCGCTAAGTGTTGTTACTGAAAGTAACCCATCTTCGAAAACGACAAACTTGCCAAACAAGCCCTCCAGCCAACTCTCGCCAATATGAAAGAAAATATGCTACAATGTTGAAATTTGGCCAGTGACTCTTCATAGCTCCTAGTTACACCTCCTAGTGGTGGAACCTGAATATTTTCCATCGTTGCCTCGTTACAGCATAATTCCGTTTTTTTGGTCCCCCCTCCCCCAGTTGTAGCTTCGGAGCCAGGGGACTTAAAGTTGAGAGCCAAAGGAGTTATCTTTCTTTGTCATCATTAAAAAATTTATTTAATCGACTAATATTGCACTTATTTAAGCTTTCCTCTCAGAAACACCCTATTTTTAGCAAAGAGCGTATTACTTGACTTTAAAAAGTAATCATTGCACACCAGAAATGACATTTTATTCTTCTGTTTTGGAAGGATCTCAGTCTACAAAAATATTATTTACAGAAATTATTCTTAGTTTAGTTCCAACAACACACTGGAACTTACGTTTGAATGAAAACTTTAAGCATAATTTTCTGAAACCTGCTTTCTTCGCCTTATGCTGTTTCGGCGAAAGAACTCCATATGCTGATCTTCAAATTACATTTTCTTGATGCTGTGTTTCAGGGTTTTCAGTGGAATAACGGTTGTATCTCAGGGTTTCCAATTGGAAAAATGGTTGCTAAATCCTTGTAACAGTTCACGGAAAAATGAAAGATTGTCATTACTCTAATTAATATATTAGAGAAAATGATTTAGTGGGTCGAAAATACTTTCATCAAGCTCTTTTGATTTTTAGGATATCTATGTTACGATGCTTGTCTGTTGTCAAATTGATCTGGTATCTTTTTCAGTTATGATCTTGCCCCCGCTGATGACACAGAAGCAGACATGTTGGATGCTGAAGATGAAGATATTGCTGAGACAGAAGGGGACTCTGATGAAGAGTGGTCGTCTACAGTGGAAGCTGAATTTACAGCAAGGTCTAGTCAGCCTTTGTGGGTTCTCCCTCTCTACTCCCTTCTACCTAGTCACAAACAAGCCAGGGTAAGTAGTGAAATAAGATTATTTAATTTGGTAAAGAGATGTACTAGAGAATCAAATCGTTTAAAACATTGCTGAGGTCGCCAGACAAAGAAGTTCATTAAATGGCCTCATTTTTGCCCCTACTTGTTGTACTGTAAATGTTATATTTGAAGAATCCTCCTTCTTTTGAAGAATTTCAGCTCCTTGCAGTAATGGGACTGTTGCACAATTTTTTTTTAATCCAACTTTGAAAAGTCCGATAAATGAGAATACCTTCATTTTTCTGTAGTGCTTCAACCAAGTTTAGTTGATAAAATGACTTCTGAAGTAAGTAAAACCCAACTTCATTTCAAGCAGAAAAACATCGCATTAACAGATTTTGTGATGTCCTAAGAAGAAACGATCCCTGTATATCCTTTTGCCTGTGTCTGTTCATTTACTTTCTGGTCGCAATTGTAATGAGAGGTTATGTACCCTAACGATGCTCGATGTCATCGCTGTTTGAAGTGAATATTTTTGCTGTCTATGTGAAGTGAAAACGTTTGTTCTGGGCGTGAATCTTATGGCAGCCCTGTTCCATCGAATTCACAGCGGCTAGGACCATGGAAAGTTGTCTAAAGCATCATAAGCATTAGGCTGATTGGAAAAGTTCCGCTTGTCACCTCCACTTTCACACTCATTTTCCGTGTCAAAAAAGCTGTTTACAAAACTGTGAGAGATATTAATGCTAAAACCTTTTTCAAAGTGGTGACTTGCGTCCTGAGGTCACAACATCCCAATGTAAACAGTTTTCTGGAGTCAAGTAAAGACCAATATCCTGAAGAATTTATCGTGTAACATTGTTTCAACAGGTTCTTTTTGAATGGCATTGCAAAATCCTGGGATACAGAACCTGGAAACTAACATAAAAAGTCAATATTGATTCAGAATTAATTGATTTACCACTACTTTCAGAGTTAAGGAATAAAAATACTAAAATGTAAACTTGTTGGTAATTTTAGTGCCCTTTAAACTTATTTTTGATTTTGCAAAGACGTACCCATGAGATTAATAAAAAGTTTGTTAGATTTTTGAGCCACCTCCTCCTGGATGCCGGTTGTGTGTGGTGGCTACAAATGTTGCGGAAACATCTCTCACTATTCCTTCAATCAAGTATGTTGTCGATTGTGGTAGAACAAAGACCCGCCTCTATGATAACTTTACTGGTATCTCAATGTTTTCTGTGATTTGGACAAGCAAGGCATCTGCTGATCAAAGGGCTGGACGAGCTGGCCGCATTGGACCTGGACACTGTTATCGGTGAGCTTCTTTCAGTAATTCACTAATTGAAGGGAGATCCAGTGGAGGTTCTGAGATGAGTTTTCCTTGTGAGAAATTATTCCCTGTAGGGAGCAGTCTCTCTTTGTTTAGATTTTCACAAGTATTTGATCAGAGTTTGTGCAACCTACCTGCAGCCTTTGACCTTTGGACAAAATTTTAAAGAGTCAAGTGGAAAAGTATGCTATACCTACAATTCTCAGGTTCAGTTGACTCTGCTTAGTCAGAATACATACTCCAACAATTTGGTCCCGACCTAGTAGCTGGTCCATGAAAAGAAATTTTCCCAAAAAACATTGTAAACAGGGGGAAAAAGATCACGGTGATGGGCAGATTCCCCTATCAAGTTATAAATAAAAGAGACATGTCTAGCAAAAACACTTAACAATCCTTTAAAATCAAAAGAAATACACAAAACTTCTTTACAAAACTTTGCCTAGACCACAAACGTCAGCCATGTAGCAAGCAAAAATGAGATGAGGGGCGATGAGCTGATCTCTGAGCAGGTAGACATGACTAAAAATGGCACCGTCAATGTTGCTAGAAGCCACCTCATTTGTATAGACATCTCCATGCTTCCTAAGTATACACCCTAGTATATCTTTCTGGTCGATGTCTCCAACCATGGGATGACTCTTCAACAGCCGTATCAGTTGGCACCAAAGAAATCCCCAAATGAAACGTATGCCTGTCAACACAAAGATATCGAGGGGCCTGAAAATTAGTGTATTAAATTATTCAGACTACCCCACTGAGTAAGTAGGGATGGAGGTCGATGCTCTCTCAGAGCATACAACTTGCAACATTACAAAAAATAATGCTGAGCAAGAAGTCTGTAGTATTTCTATGACACTATTTAGAAGTATTAAAGTAAAGCCGGCAGTAATGAAGGGGTAAACATTCCTCCAAATTCAGGTAGTGCAGGAAACTTGCAAAGGATGATGCAGAACGGACAGACAGAACTTCATCCCAATCCTATCACACCTGCACCTATATCCAGTCACTCTAGCCTGAAAAAGAAGTGGTCAGAATATATTAGCACAGTTATGGTAAATCGTGAAGTGAAATCTTTTGCAATGATTTTGATGCCAAACCGTTGCAGTCGATATAAATCAGGTGCTACTCTTGATCCTGTTCTCCCAAGTAGTGTTGATTGTAGGGACTGGAGGGGGAAAATTTAATAATCATGGCAGGAGCCAATAATGCATACTGATGTTCTAGGGATATATGTAATAGAGAAGTTAGAATATAAAATTGAGAGAATTTTTTAAGAATTAACATACAATTTGCAGCATTGGGCATAATGCAATACTTTTTACCAGGTGTGCACAGTGCAACAAGAAAAATTCACGACATGCTTTCACTGTTAAGGTGTGTGCACCATTGTTTGTTTTTCCAAAAAAAATCCCTGGGTAAAGAGCTCTGAAAACAGGAGCCACCATCAGCAGAAATTGATGAATCTGTCGCAGGCAAATAGTGAAATCAGGCATTTTGTCAAATGCCTAGGCAGATAGTCAAATTTTGACGGTCTACAAAATATTGTGTATTTATGGCGAAGAGCTCACGATTTTTCACTATTTTTGAAAAAATAACTACAAACTCTTATTGTCTTTTCCTCTTTAATTGTCTCTCTTATTTTTAAATGTTGAAATTCCGAAAATTCTGTATTTTACGACATGCTGAAAATTTCAAGATCAGTGACTCTTCAAGAGCTAAAAATTGTTTAAAATGCTAGTGTGTGTGCGCAAATTTTTATTGAAAATTTTTTCTTGCAGGAGCAATGAATTATTTTGTCTGAAATTAGGAAAAGAATTAGAATTTTGCTCTAAGTTCGAATTTTTGACTATTTGCCTAGGCATTTGACAAAATGCCTGATTTTACTATTTGCCTGCGACAAATCCTTAGTCCTCGAAATTTAATCAACTCCGCCCTGAAAGGCTATCCAGATACTCTTTAACTCGACGGAAATGTTACTTATTATTTTCAAGGTAAAAGTTGGACATTTTTTGTTCTTCTGATTTAAAATGAGTGGTAAATGTTGCAGGCTATATTCATCAGCATTATTTAAAGATGAGTTTGAAGAATTTACAATGCCAGAAATTCAGCAGAAACCTGTTGATGATCTCCTACTGCAGATGAAGGCGATGAAGATTGAAAGAGCTGTGAATTTTCCATTTCCATCTGCTCCTAACATTATCCAACTGAAAGCGGCAGAGAGGAGACTGGCTATCCTTGGTGCACTAGAGACATCGTGTGCCAAAGGTTTGTTCTGCCTCCTTCTTATTATCACAGAAAAATCCAAACTGGTTCAATTTTAAGAAAGGTTGCAAATGTTGAGCACCTTTTAAAAGAGAAAATCTAATCTTTAATACAGGCAAGTGCGTATAGTGGGGTGGATTAGCAAGAAATACCTCTAGGATCGTGTATTTCTGGATAGAAGCATGAAACTATCCGGAAATCTTCTACATGTATGAAGAAAGGAATTTTGCCTGGGTGTCCAGTTTTATGGGGGACTGGGGGGCGGGAGGACCCTAAAATCGTAAAATTCAGGTTTTCTGTGAGAATTTTCGTGCACAAGTGGATAAAACTGAATGAGTTTGCGGAACTTACCACTTTGAGGCCACATCAATATATTCTAGAACGACTTCACCCACTAATCACCAAATTTTGACCAAAAGGGTGTTTGAGGGGGGGGGGGACCTGAGATTTAAACCCCTTGCTTTTCTTGTTAACTATGAATGAGGCTTATAGCAACTGAATCCTTCGAACATCATGGTTTCACATTGCTGAACTATTTCAAGGGTGATAAAAAAATTCGTCATGGTCATGGGAGAGGGAAGGAAGGTGGGAGGCAGCAAGGGAACCGCAAACGCACACTCTGCAAAGGCAGCGCTGCATGCAAGACTCTCCCAATATAACGTCTATGTTGTGTTGCATTTTTAATACCTATTTCCAATCGTTGCACTTATCTTATGCTCATCAACAGGGAGAGAGGGGGGGCTGATTTTCAACCCCTTCCATAAAAATATATAAAAAATAAAAGTAGAAATTGGAAACGGAGATGATGACATAAGGAATGTGAAAACATTTACCGATCCAAGAGATTATCATTGAGTATGTTCCGTCTCTCTTTGGATCGGAAACCCTTATTTTTGATGCCACTAGGACAATTTGCAGTTTCGTTTTCATGATCGTCATTATCAGTGATATAGTTTCCCATGTTTTTCTTGTGCGTGTTGTAGCCGTTCTCACGTTCTTAAAATTTTCCCTCTTGCAGAGCATCGTACAGTTTAGATTTAGATTTAAGTATTTATTTGTTTGTTTCTGCACAAAAAGGGTAATACAAATATGTCAAGTTATACATTAATATTTTAATACATTTACAATTGGGGAAAATAATTAAATTGCATAGTAGTAAATCAAAGTAAGCTTCAATTCCTGAGTGTACTCATTAATTTCATAGTACTCGCCGTTAATTAAATATTCTTATAATTTCGCTTTAAAATTTTTTGCATCATAAATTTTCTTTAGATCATCTGGATGTTTCAAGAAGAAGGTATGGCCTCTTCTTAAAGTGGGGCTACCCTTAATCACAGCCGTTATACCAGCATTTTTGGTGTTTACTTGGCAGTTGGCATTTGAGTTTCTAGGATCTAATTTATTGATGACAAAATTCATGATAGATCAAAATACCAAGAAGGATGGCACTGTAAGCAGCCGACTACTCTTAAAGCGAGTTCTACAGGAATCATATGGATTTAATCTTAATATAGTCTTCAACGCTCTCCTTTGGATTCTGAAAACTCTTTCAACAAGGAGTTTGCTACACCGAATGCAAGAGTTAATACAATAGTCAATTCTTGATATAATAAGGGCATGGTATACCTTAATTAGTACATCAAAATCACAAAACTTGGACAACATTTTAAGAACAAAAATATATGTGTGCATTATTGAGCAAATTTCATTAACATGAAGGTCTTATTCCCATTTTTTATCTGTTAGTGTACCCAGACATTTGATCGTTACCACTCCTTCAATTTCTTCATTATCCATTAGTAATTTGAAAGAATCAATGATATTTTTCGTGCTTATGAGCATAAATTTTGTTTTGTCGCCGTTTACTTCTAGGAGATTTATATCAGCCCATTGTTTGAGGATGTTGAGTAAAATGAATGCGTCTATTTCCAATCTGTCTAGGCTATTGTTACTTATTACCAGCAAAATATCATCAGCAAATAAAATAATGAGAAAGATCAACAGAATCATGGCTAAACATTTAAGTTTGAAAATTTTGAACATGGAAGAACGGGTGGCTGAGCCCTGTGGAACACCTCCCTTAACTGGTGCAGTAGGAGAGTCAAAGACTTTTTTGCCAGATTTGATTTGCACATACATATTGATTTCCATCTTGAAGGTAACTGTCGATGCATCTCATTGATTCCTCAGTAAAGCCATACTTTCTCGACTTTATTTTTAAAAGCTTGTGGTTTACAGTGTCAAAAGATTTCTTCATATCAACTGCAATAACTACATTATACTTTTTCTTATTGCACAAGAGATTATCATGGCATTGTGTAATAGCAGATTCGGTGTTAAGCCCATCCCGAAAACCATATTGATGTTTACATATTATCTTATTACTATTATGTAATAACTCATTAATTTGCTTACTTATTACGTTTTCATGCAGATGGGAGATATTTGCGATAATGGTCTGTAATTATTTACACTTATCTTATTACCACTTTTGAATAATGGTAAGACCTTCACAGTTTTTAAATGTTCAGGGAAAGTTCCTATAGAAAAATACTCATTTACCATAACGGAAAGAGGTCTACTTATTTCGTCTTTGATACTTTTGATAAAATCATATGAAATACCGATCCTCCAATGTTTTATTATTTAATTTGTCAATTGTGGAAGGGGTTGAAAATCAGCCCCCCCCCCCCCCCCTCCCTGTTGATGAGCATAAGATAAGTGCAACGATTGGAAATAGGTATTAAAAATGCAGCACAACATACAAGTTATATTGGGAGAATCTTGCATGCAGCGCCGCCTTTGCAGAGTGTGCGCTTGTGGTTCCCTTTCTGCCTCCCACCTTCCTTCCCTCTCCCATGACCATGACGAATTTTTTTAATCACCCCTGAAATAGTTCAGCAATGATGGCCTCAAAGTGGTAAGTTCCGCAAACTCAGTCAGTTTTATCCACTTGTGCACGAAAATTCTCACAAAAAACCTGAATTTTACGATTTTAGGATCCGCCCGCCCCCCAGCCCCCCTGGGACCCCATAAAACTGGACACCCAGGCTAGATTTGTTTCTTCATACATGTAGAAGATTTCCTGAAAGTTTCATGCTTTTATCCAGAGACGCACGATTATTTTGCCAATTCGCCCCACCAGTAAAATTTTTGCTACTACTAAAAAAATTAATGTTCCTTTAAAGAGCATGAAAAAAGCGCCAAAACTGAATTGTAGAAGAATAGTCAACAGAGAAGTATGATAAGGGGGAGAAGGTAACCTGCAGCAAATTGCGTAACAAACTTTTCCTCGGCAAACGTCATCATTAGATTGTCCTAAATGACATACAAAAAGTTCTGATGGTTCGACTTCTGATACCATACTTTTCTGATAGCAAATATCTGTGCACTTCTTTTCTTCCTTGCCAATTTCTTTATTACAGATGAGTGGAGCTCAAAATTGACTCCACTTGGTGAAGCTATGGCCTTATTTCCTGTCGCTCCAAGATTTGGCAAAATGTTATGTCTTAGTCATCAACATTGCCTATTACCGTACACCATAGCCATTGTTGCTGCGCTCTCTGTCCAAGAAGTTTTGTTGGCAGAAAATGTTAACACTGCCAAAGTAAGACGAATGTGGGCAGGAGTAGGGAACTCATTACTCTTAGGTATGTCAACATTTTGTCCTACATTGTTAGTCCAGAAAAGACATAATTTAATTTGCCAGACAAATAAAGGGGTGTGTGCAAAATCGGCAAAATTTCCCTCCTCATGGATTTTGACCAATTTTCAATATGTCATTCCTCATTATAGAATACCCTTTTCTCCAAAATTTCAAGGCCTGAAATGAATTTCTTCAGCGAAATGAGTAGCGTTGCCAAGTTGAAAACCGTTGAGTTCCGTATCTTTCGAACGAAAAAAGATATTGAGATGCGGTTTGCGCTAAAATTTTTCACAGTTGCGTTCTGTTGGATTATTAAGACGACTAAATTGTTTAGGTAATTTAAGATTGCAATGATGCCATTTTTCAAACTTTCTTAAGGGTCAATTTTTTTTCAACCCTGGTACATTGTCAAATGCCAGATTCTCGATTCGAACAAAAAGCTGTTCAATTCATTTGTGGTACTTTTCCACACATTTTGATGTATTACACCTCCCAGGGAATCGATTTGTACGCGAGATATGAGCCATCAAAGTTTACGTTTTGCGCGCACCGATTGGAATTCGGGCGCTCAGAGTCGCACCCCCTCCCTTGCTACTAACAAGCTTCACGAGGTCACTCTCGTATATTTATAGCATGCTTTTCATTTCTGGCCTTTAAAACGGTCTCTGATGGATATTTAGGGACCTCGCAATCCATTGTTGCCAAATTTGAACCATTTTTGGGGTTTTTCAATTTTATGCGGGTAAAACTTGATTTAAACTGAAAACTGTGTACTTTATTGGAAGGAACGTCAAAAAATGAATAAAGGACTATGTGTAATGTTTTTCTACGTTGCCAAATTTTCGGAAAAATTGTTCCAAAGAGCCAAAAATGGCAGAAACTGTTTATACTGCCACGCCTAAGGTTCAAGAAAGTGGGGCATAACTTTCATATTGACCTACATAACAGCTCTTACCCATCCATACAACAGATAAGAAAAGCACAGTTGTACCTGGATTCCCGTGATGTGAAAATTGACCGAGATGTCACGTGTTGCAGCCCCTCTATAGTTAAGGTAACTCTTTTGAATGTTATTCGACCTTTAGTCACACTCCTTACGGGTGTGTCATATGTATTTTCTCCTGTACGTTTCATATTTTGCCATAATATTTGGCGTTCGATTAATTTTAAGGAGCCTCAGAGAGCATTGTTGCCATTTTTGGCCAATTTTTCCGGGTTCTATCAATTTTACACATGTGAAACTTAATTTAACTTAAAAACCGGGTATATTTTTGGATTAAACGTAAATAGTTACACCAGAAATGCTTCTTATAACTGTTTCGTACTTTACCAAATTTTCGAGAAAAATCGTCCTAAAGTGCTGAAAATTGGATTAATTATAACGGACGTGAGACGTATCGTAAATAATCTTGTAAGATATGTTATTAGTAGTAAAACAATACTTAAAATTAACATTCTTCATATGAGAGTCATCATTCTATTCCTAAAACCTTTGACGTAATAATTATCAAATTTTTGGCTCTTTGGAACAATTTTTCCAAAAATTTGGGAACATAGAAAAACGTTACACTTAGTCCTTTATTCATTTTTTGACGTTCCTTCCAAAAAAGTACACAGTTTTCAGTTTAAATCAAGTTTTACCCGCGTAAAATTGAAAAACCCCAAAAATGGTTCAAATTTGGCAACAATGGATTGCGAGGTCCCTAAATATCCATCAGAGACCGTTTTAAAGGCCAGAAATGAAAAGCATGCTATAAATATACGAGAGTGACCTCGTGAAGCTTGTTAGTAGCAAGGGAGGAGGTGCGACTCTGAGCGCCCGAATTCCAATCGGTGCGCGCAAAACGTAAACTTTGATGGCTCATATCTCGCGTACAAATCGATTCCCTGGGAGGTGTAATATATCAAAATGTGTGGAAAAGTACCACAAATGAATTGAACAGCTTTTTGTTCGAATCGAGAATCTGGCATTTGACAATGTACCAGGGTTGAAAAAAAAATTGACCCTTAAGAAAGTGTGAAAAATGGCATCATTGCAATCTTAAATTACCTAAACAATTTAGTCGACTTAGGACGTCGAGGAATGACATATTGAGAATTGGTCGAAATCCATGAGGGGGAAGTTTTGCCGATTTTGCATACACCCTATCTGATCACTTTATTCTACCTTGGAGTTATTGAATGGATTCTAATGTAAATGATCCAGCTTAGAAGAAGAAAGAAAAAAAAAATTATTTAGTAATGAACTGATTTGGAATTTTAGAGAAATACAAGAGTCTTTGCAAGGCCCTCCCTCCTAGCCTTGCCTTCAGCTCAAAATGAGTAATAAGGGGAAAAATTAATCTTGTATCCTTATATTTTGGCTGCCATACTCCAAGATGGCCGCTAAAAGCCGATTTTCATTATTTTCTCATTTATTGGAGGTTCTAATTTACCCATGAACATTCAGTTTTGCAGAAATGGAAGAATCGAGATTTAAGTTCAGTCGACTATTTTATCCTAGCTCTTGCCTGTAATTTTGAAAAGTAGACTGTAAGCCCAGTTTATCGTGTTTGCTCAGATTTTCGGGGCATTTTTGCAGCTTGACGCTAACAACTCGACAGATATATGTATAATTGTACTGAATATGAGGAAACGTCGAGACAAAAGTTCTATCAGTCATTTTATCCTGGCTAATAGCCGCCATTTTGAAAATTAGCGTCCTAGGCTTGTTTCTTTGCAGTTCCTCTGGTTTTTGTGGCTATTTCGCAGCTAAGTGCTTACAATTCGGGAGGAATATTTTTGAGAACAAGGAAACATTGAGACAGAAGTTCAATCCGCCATTTTATCCTTGCAAATGACCGCCATTTGGAAAATTAGTCGCCCAGTCCCCCCCTTTCTTTATAGTTTCATAGATTTTTCCTCTCAGCACACAAGAATTTCTCAAAGTTGAAGGTGTGATAAAGATGTTCCCTAAGTTATGAGAATATCCATCTCGGAGAAGGACTTTGACTGGTGGATTTTCCCTGGACTCTCATCCAGTCAAACACTCCATGCATAAATAGATAGCAAATACGAGGGTCATCCAAAAAGTAAGGTTCCCTACCTTGTATCTTCCGAACGAAAAGAGATAAATCAAATCGGTAAAAACGTACATATTAGGCATACTCTAAGCTTTAAAACAAAGTCAAGTTTTTGAAAATCGGTTGAACACTTCGCGAGAAAACTCAATTTTACTGAGACGACCTCCCGTCGTCGCGTGCCCACCTCCGAGGTCAGGATGCGCGGAGAGTCCCTTACTTCAGACTCGACTTATCGCCTCTAAACATCAAATCGAAAAGGAATTTAAAAGATTTCATCAAGTAGGCCTTACTTTACTTTTTGAGATAGTCTCCGCATCTTTTTGGACATTTCTGGTGTCATTACAGCAGCTCTTTCATGCCTTCCGCGTAAAAGGTCTCGTCTTGGCTCCAAAACCAGTCATTGCCAGCGATCTGCACCTCTAAATCGGTTGGAAATCGCTTTCCACAGTGGGAGCTTTTCATCTCAGGAATAGACGAAAGTCAGCCGAGGCTAAATTAAGAAAGTACAGAGGATTGGGGAAAAATTTTACCACGGTAAGGAACTGATTTGGAAGTGCAGATTGCTGGCAATGACTGGTTTTGGAGCCAAGACGAGATCTTTTACGCGGAAGGCATGAAAGAGCTGCTGTAATGACACCAGAAATGTCAAAAAAGATGCGGAGACTATCTCAAAAAGTAAAGTAAGGCCTACTTGATAAAATCTTTTAAATTCCTTTTCGATTTGATATTTAGGGGCGATAAGTCGAGTCTGAAGTAAGGGACTCTCCGCGCATCGTGACCTCGGAGGTGGGCACGCGACGACGGGAGGTCGTCTCAGTAAAATTGAGTTTTCTCGCGAAGTGCTCAACCGATTTTCAAAAACTTGACCTTGTTTTAAAGCTTAGAGTATGCCTAATATGTACGTTTTTACCGATTTAATTTATCTCTTTTCGTTCGGAAGATACAAGGTAGGGAACCTTACTTTTTGGATGACCCTCGTATATTAGCAGGGTTGCACAGGTGGAGCCTTGGAGTCCCCACCTAATGTGGCAAAGCTGCTAATTTTTTTGCTATCAATTGGTACTGGTGGACAAAATAATTTAGTGATGGACTCTCTTGTGACAAAAGAGATCCGCTCTCTTACAGCTTCAAATTTGAGAGCTTTTTCTGAGTTTTTCAGTTTGTTTCACAGAAATTTGGTGATGCCGTTGTGTTTTTCTCAAAATTTTACATGTAACACAGTCCTTCAATCTCTAATCCTTATGTCATGCGACAATTACTTTGTGCTATTTATGATTTTTGATTCTAGCTTTGAGAATTTTAAGCTGAGCATAAATATGAATTTGTATATAAAAGTGCCCTTGTATTGAATCGATTACAAAGAAACCTCTCAGGAAAATATCCGGAAACCCTCAGAAGCCATTGGAGTGGTTATGTTAGGATAGTTTAAGTCATCTATCATTGATAGGTGACGCTATCAGCCGAGCTAAGGAGGGGTGATCCACAATTCAATCGCAACACAGTCCAAAAATGCGAACTGACTATTAATGGATGACTGTATTCCCCCCATCTGTTGCCCCCTGTATGCCCCCCCTCCCACCACAGACAGCTATAAAGGTGGATGTTTAAGTGTCCTTAATTATAATTCACCATAAGGCATTGAAATCAGAACCTTAATACTGAGAACAAACTGCCTTAACCATTTCTTCATCAAGGTTTGCTTGTAAAGTAGCAGAATTTTTTCTTTCTCAGATATTTTGTAGTGAACTATAATAACTTCTGCGCAGCAGATGTGTCAGAATTTTGCCCCTTACCCTATTTTTTCTGCATTTCTAAGTTTTCTCATGCTTTTTCAATTTATTGTAGGTGATGTGATCGTCCTCTTAAGAGCAGTTGGAGCTGCTGAATATGCCAGTAGCAATGGTGCTCTGGGTGAATTTTGTCTGAAAAATGGATTAAACAAAAAAGCTATTACTGAGATACGCAAATTACGGAAGCAAGTGACCAATGAAATGAACCTGACCATTGCAGAATTGCAGCTAGTAGTAGATCCTCAGATGAAGCCGCCATCTGATTTACAGGTGATCTTGAAATTTGTCATTGTACTAGTTCTTGATGATTTGTATCCTGTCAATTGCCAAGATTAGGTCTCTAAACCTTGTGTTTTTTAACGTAATACTCTAAAGGTACCGGGTGAGTAGATTACTTGGTGATCTATCGTGTAATTTTGGAGCCCAAATCCTGGACAAGCCTGCTTTGAAAAATTCCAATGACTTAAAGGAATTTCGAAAGCGCCAGAATGACAGGAAAACAATGGAAGTTATCCACTCAGGCAGTCAAGTCGCTATCTCCTCTCATTTTCCACTGATGTTTGTTAAAATAAAATGTATTTTAATGTGAAATTGTTGCTTGTTAACTACAGATAACATGAATGCGATTCGATTGTTTAATTCTGAAAGTAGTGTTTTGACTTTCGTATTGTTTTCATTTATAAAGAATAGAAAGACATTTCACAAAAGTGGAAGAAACTGGTGCTTGCTTCTAATTGGTGCTGGATAGCATAATTTGGTTCGGCTCGAAACCGAGGCGTTTTCGCATTTTCGGAAAAGTTGCACTTTTTTAAGTTCGTAATTCTCGGTTTCTGAGTTACTTTTCTGCACTTTTAATGTGCTCATTGTGTTTTACCCGTCATTTACCGGCAGAAATATGTATACACCTGTCAAAATTTGTTCATCGTTTAGTAACCCATTCAATCCAAAATAGCGGCAACTTTGCATAAAAAAAAGGCACTAAAGAGATGATATTGTCAACAGCGATGCACTTTCAGGGGCAAAGGAATATAACTTTTAGTTTGACCCACAGCCAGTAGATGGGGCGCATTGTGGAAATTAAGACCCCGCGCCAGGCCGCGGGTACAGATTTTGATTCATGTTTGATAGTACATGACGGTGTACACTCAGCAATTGTGAATGACCTGGGTTATAAACATGCTGTTTTAAAGTATCTGATGAATATTTCTAAACCCAGAATAGTGAGAAACAATGAATTGCATGCTGAAACACATGTGAAACACAAAGTACCATGGCTTTATCATGTCGAATCCCTGTAATCCATATAAGGATATCATAAGGAAGTCTGAATGCGACGCCCAGCATATCCAGGCCTTGTCTGCTTTCACCCTTTAGCTCCACCCTGATGTTTCAAATTTCCAGTAGAAACGGTCCTGAGTTCATTTTAAAACAAAAGACCATTTGCGATCTTACAGAATAAATGGAAGGTTAGTTGTTACCTTTTTGATTGACTGTTTTTCTGTAACCAGCAAAAAGTCCGTGACTGAAGTCACGGGTCTAGATGCTCCACAATTATATCTGTTGAGCATTTCATTAATTTATTTTGTTACCAGGATCTATTGTGGCAATAGACCGGGATCGTTTCGATTACGACTGTGCAAATATTAAAAAATCTCGAATATTGGAGTTCAACTAATTTTTCCGACATTTGATTCGAACTCGAACTTGGAAACCTCGAATAATCCAAATATTCGACCACATTTCGAATCTCAAGAAGAAAGACCGAATTTTCGTACATCCGGTCATATTGATGATGTACTCGTAGGAACTCAATCTGGCGCACAGTGCAAACTACTTGTTTGGAGGTTAGGTAAACAAAGGCCAACGTTTCATTGGTTCATCCAGCGCATGGCACTTGCACTAGACGGGTCAATTCAAAATTCGCGTCACTTGAGTTCCACCTAATATGTCATCTACATGGTGTAAGAATGGGCGAATGTACTAACCTCTATTACCTATTCTCCTCTGCCCTGCGCGGCACCCCGGTCTTTACAATATTGCTAGACTGTCTTTGCGAGATCAGCATTGATGTGAAGTAAAACTGAATGAAGTGGATTTTTGGACAGTAAGCAGCAGTTTTATAGCTCTGCAACACTTCTGTTAATTGCTAGTCCTTAATTAAAGGAAAAAATTTTCTCTCCCTTCTTCTCTTTCCTCCGCAAATCAAAATGTATGCAAAACCACTTGATAATTGAATGAATAGATTAATTCTTGATATTTGATTGATTCTTGATCCATAATAGTAAATGTTTTATTCAAAATTTGAATGTCAGAAAAGAAAAGATTATTTATTCGATTTTTACTTCCACAGAGGTAGGTTTTGGTCGAAAATAGGTAAAAACTAAAAATATTCTATTCGATTCTCGCGGCAGGAGTCGAAAGCCTAGTTCTGGCCGAAAAGGTCGCAAAGAGCATACCTACGTTTCACTTACCTTGGCCATTCTCTATAACTGACATGTTGAAAATATACAATTTTCTGACAGGCAAGAGTTGGGAATATTGCAATGAAAATTTTAACACATAACAGTAAGTGCTTTCAACTCAGCGTTTTGTTGCCTCTTACTTGTTTTTTTTTATTTTTTTATTTTTCATTTCCTTTTTTCTTTTTATTCTTTCAAGGCAAAACTACTGAGGCAGGTTGTTTTAGCTGGAATGGTGGATCATGTAGCTTTGAAATTAGACCAAGATCAATTGACTGCAGCTGGTCTTCGTCCACATCAGCCAGCTTATCGCATTCCTGAGATGGAGGATATTGTTTTCATGCACTCTTCTTCTGTTCTTCGTAAAACCAGACCACAGTGGGTTGTGTATCAAGAAGTTTATCAGCTTAATGATAAAATGTATATGCGAGGTAGGTTATTTTCACTTCTAATGTAATTTCTCTCTGTGTTAAACCAATGTGTCAATAAGCCGCACGCTTGCAGGAGTGCCATTCAGTATAACCTCAATTGAAGACACCGCACCAAGAACAGCCTATTACTGGAAACCGCATTTTGAGAAAAACGCATCTAAAGTTTTGTTTTTGATAGACTGCGCAGACTTTTCTATGCAGGTACCCTGTTTTGGTGTTTTTGGGTGACCTAACCCTTCTATTGAAGGATGCCGGGTACCTAGATTTTGTGATACATTTTGGGTTTACACTCTAATATATTTAATTTAAAAAAGCATTTTGTAGGCCATTATTACGCCCAACAGTCATTTTGGTGGCAATATGAAGTATAAATCATTTTAATCACGCATGATTAACGCAAAATGAAAGAATATCGATTTTGAGTAAAGAAAGGGGTAACTAGCACCTTATAGGCCCGTATTACGCCCAACAGTCATTTTGGTGGCAACGTGCGAAGTATACATTTTTGGAGGAATGGATAGTTTGAGAGGAGAATAAATTATTTCAATAGCTCGTTTTTCTGAAATGTAAACAAATCTTTATAAAATGAGATCAAAAAATAAAATAATTCAGTCTTCTTAAGGCCGCGCGTATAGGTCGTTTTTGCACCCATCAATCCAGAGGCCTGACTTAACTCGGAAAAAACAGGTTTTTCGACCTCGAGCCGTTACCTTATCATATTCTATCGCTACCACAGCACAGTCCAGGGTACGTAGAATCCGAAAAGCAGATGGGCGTAATAACGACCTATACGCCTATAGCCTCTTCTTGGTGCGGTGTCCTCAATTCATGTTTAGCCATATTATAATTGTGGGAAATTCTTACAGAAATCTTATAGTCTCATTATTATATTGTTTTATGCTATACAGGGGGAGCAAAAAGTCCCCTAACCCCTTTCTAACCTTAGAACGCATTCATGTATCAATACGAAATTTTGGAGATGGCTCTAGGGCGATAAAAGCTATTATTTGGCATATTCAACATATCCCCGGGGAGAGGGCTGCACTTTAACTCAAAATTTTTAAATGGCAACCCCTTTCTTAATACATTCTTGAAAAGTTATAATTAAAAAAAAAAAATTGGCCTAAACTGGTAGTTGCTAAGAATCTCTGTTCTTTAGTTATCCAAGGTCAAAGTTCAAAATAGGCCTGCTGTACAAAAATCATGAATCCTGTTCAGAAAGTTGCTATAAAGCTAACAAGGTCGCAAACTTCTCCTTATCGCAAATACTTAAAAAAAAATCAAACAAATCGAAATTTCGGAAAAAATTGTAAAGAATCTTATCGTTTACACCCAGAGTGATTTAAGCCCCCTCCCGCGATTAACTATCTTCCTTGCGGGAGGGGTGCGATTAACTGTCTTCCTTGTGAGAGGGGCGGTTCAGTTTACTTGAGGAGGAAGTCAGCAACTCTTGAAGAAAACACTCTGACCTGATAGAGCCCATGCCAGTTGGAAAAGGGGTGCTTCCCCCTACTTTTGGTAGAAGAAAGAAGAGTTTTGTTAAGAACCATCGAATTTCTGTCTCCTCTGATTTTAAGCAAGTTTTGGGTAACAGAAAGAAGAAAGGGTGCCCCTTGCCCAGCTTGGGCTCTGTCAGATGACTAAGTTACCTTCAAAAAGATGCTTCAAGGCTAAAATCACTCTAGGTTCAAAAGTTAAGGTTCTCGACAATTTTTTTCCAAAAGTATTTGCAACGCTGTGAAGTTCGCCGCCTTGTCTGCCTCATATAATTTTCTGTACAGGACTTATGATTTTTTTAATACATGCCTATTTTGAACTTTGACTAAGGATAACTACAGAACAAAAAGTCATAGCAACTTCCGGTTTATGCATAAAGTTTTCTTCTTTTTCTACCTTTTCAAGGATGTATTAAAAAAAGGGGGTTACCATTTGAAAATTTTGAGTTATAGTGTATTCCAGGTGAGGCGACAATCCGACAACCCCCTCCCTCCGGAAATCACGAATGTGCCAAAAATTGTCACTCATTGACCTAGAGTAAGTAAGTAAGTAAGGGACGAGCTTACCGGCGAGGCGCCCTCAAGGGGCCAAGGCAACTGGCTACTTGCCGTCGTGCACCCTGAAGTTGGACCGTGCTCCTTAACTTCGTACTATTGACACATTCTGTATCCTTCATATTCCCGCAAGGCTCAGAAGTCATCTGATAGCCAACGGTAGGTCTTATCAAAGACTGTGGCAGACGCTGCAGAGCACGGATTTTCGGGGCACGGCCATGCCTCCACCGAGTTGAACTGTGTTGTTTCAATCTCTACTGATAGGTAGCGCTGGCAGTCGCTCACACCACGAGTGATTACCGATTTTTTCACAACTCAGTCAAACAGTGCAGACGGATTACTTACTGTGTGACTATGTCCCTCCCTCACACTGCTACCAAGGGTCACAGGGTGTTGGAGTGGCATAGTCATCTGCAGTCACGATGACTGATACTTGAGTGTTCTCACTCGTTTTGATATGTGTTGAATCGCGCATGTGTTGAAAAGTTGGGTCGGGGACTTTTCGCTCACCCTATTTAAGGCAACTCTAGGCTATGCCCCCTGGCTGTGCAGCCCTCAGAGTGCACATAGTGCTCTCTTAGACCTGTTTTTGCGGATCCCAAGAACTAATTCTAAATAGAGCCTATCAGTAGCTTCCTATCAGTAGCCACAAAAATTTTGAAAATCGACTTGGTTGATCTTCCAAACGTTTTGTGACCAAAAAAATTATCATTTACATTGTTCAAATGGAAGATTCCACAACTTCATCACCCATCATAGACTGGAATGATAAGTAAGAGAAAAAGTACTCTTCCAAGGTATCGAGGTGTGTGAGACAAAGGTATGCTCTTCCCCTAATCAAGGGCCCAAAATCGATAAAATTATCAAAAATTCGGAAGATTTTCTTACCGGACTGTCATTGGTCCAATCTCCCTCTGGCTGGGAGTTTGGACCAATTAGAGTTCAACAGAAAAATTGGCATTTCCTTTTAAACTTCTCGCCAAGATTGAAACGAAACGAAAAGAGTGGAACTGGGAGTTTTGTCACTTTTGAATGATTTGTAGCAAAGGAGCATACTTTTGACTGACTTTCCATACCATACTGCCATTCCTGGCTGTCTGTTCTGAAATCGAACAATACCGAAGAATATAGAAACAAACCAAGATTCAACATCTCTCGCTTGGTTCAAATTACCCTACTGGTCTACCTTTCTAAGCTCCCTGGTCTACCCTTCAGGGCCGGATTTACCTATAGGGCACTGGGGCACTTGCCCATAGCGGCAAATTTTGAGGGGCGGCAAATTTTGGCACTGGATTAATTGAAAGTTAAAGCGAGAAAAAAGGAAAAAATGGAGACAGAGACGGAGCGAAGTGAAAAGATGAGCGGCAAAATGTATGAAGGAAGGGAGTTGACGCTTGACGGGAGCGGCAAA